AAAAAATTTCCCCCCAATTTTCCCTTTTTCTTTTTTCCCCTTTTATTTAAAAATAAGGTTTTCCAAATTTTTTAAAAAATAAAATTTTGAAAAATGAAAAAAATTTTTTTTTATATTTTTATTTTTAAAACACTTTTTTGGGTTGAGCCTGTTAAACACACCAAACAAAAAAGGGATTTGGGGAAAAAAATAAAAGCAAAAGGGGTTTTTCAACCTTGATGCCAAAGTTTTTAAATTGAAAATCCCAAAGGGACCCGGGGGGGATTTAAAAACCCCAAAAAATCCCCAAAAATAAAACATGATGGAAAAATGTTTCCCTGGAAAGCTAGAAATGACCCGTTCTTTTGTCCACTTTCTGGTACTAACCAGTACTGGTATCATATACGGTAATGTAGTCGTGATCCTGTAATTGACTCAACACTATTTTATTGGTGAAAGTTATCAGGATTTCAGACTCCAAAAAAAAAAAACTTTTTCTTTCCTCAAAACTATAAAAGAAAAATAAAATATGATTTTCAGATTTTTAAATATATTACTCTCACTCCTTAGTTAAGAGGCAGACACTTTCACAACTTAGTCATCTCACTCCTTACATCTTGTTAATTCCTGATTATATACATTCTAAAATAACTGACAATAAACGTTTTTTTAAATTTGTTTTATAATTTTTTTAAATTTTTTCCCGTAAGGGTTCATTTTTCTTTGGAAATTTGACGTTTATATAGTTTTATATACACGGCTGCTGTTGATTCATGAACAAATCTTAATTTTTCTCTATAAAAATGATGCTTGCTGTAATTATAAATTCGTTATATAAGATTGTTGACAGGTTATATGGCCGTATATAAAACGGCTGTTTGCAAATATAACCCTCGCCTAACGGCTCGGGTTTATATTTACAAATAGCCGTTTATATAGGGCCATATAACCTGTCAACAATCTTTATAACTAATAATATAAGCCTATACATCCATAATAAGTCAAATAAAGATTTTTCTTACCTGAATGGTAGCTTGAGTTACTAAAGGTTTTATTTTTTACTTAGTCTACTTCTTTATAAATAAATTAAGAGTGGTAATAAGTTTCAGTCTCTTAAAACTTAGTTATGTATCTTTTTAAGGTATTTGTACTTTGGTCATATGATGTCTGTTTCCTTATGTCATTATGTTATTTTATTTCTAGCTTCAATTTTAAACACCCAGACGATGATTGGTATGAAAAGCAAACTAAAGTATCAGAAAGGGGAGGGCTATGTGTTTGAAGCCATTACTAATCAGAAAATTGAGAAGAAGAAATTGAGGTCCCGTTACACATATGAGCCAAGGGTATATGTGAGAACACCTGATGAAGAATTGCTGGAGTTCAATGGAAGTGCTATTTTGATATCAGGAAAGTCCTTCAAGGCCTCAGGATCATTGAATAAATTGACAAAAGTACCTTACAAGTTTAATGGTAAGATTTTACTGTTTATCATGCAGATTTTATAATTTCTTTAATATTCTTACTGTAGAGCATATGCTCTAGATGAGATTAATAACATAAATTGTTTAATGTAAAATCTACACAAATATTTTTAACTTTTACTCAGCTGATTGGTGTTTTCTCTATAAATAGACTGTCAACTTTATGGAACTGTCCGATAGTAATGTAATGTAATACCCCTTAAACATCTGAATTTTCGTAATTTAGTTATCTAGCTATAAATCTGGAACAGTTCAGTCAAAGTTTAAAGGATTACAATAACAAAATACGAAAATGAAACCTCCAACAGTAGAGTCTGGTAAAATGTTTATGACTGTCTGGTGCCAAGGCTTATCATTTATGGTTGGTTAAAAAATTAAAATACAGGAATTGTGAAGTCAATTTTTAAGTTTCTTGTTAACTTGGCTTTTAGTAAAATGTATGTTCCATATTAAGTAACATATAATAGATATCCTATTGATTTCAGTAGATTTTTATTCCATGTCACGATGCTATGTTTATATTTTGACAGATCTTTATTCCATATCAAGATTTTATGTTATAATTTCAGCGAATCTTTATTCCAAATCGCAATGTTATGTTATAATTTCAGTGGATCTTTTCTAGAACGGAATATACAAAGAAAGAAGAGAGTTAAGACTCTTGCGCGAGCGTCAGTAACAGTCCTAGACTCTCCACTAAACTTATGATTAATCATGATAATAGAGCTGACAAAAACATCTTTAACTAAATATCGGCTGGACTACAGTATTGGCAAGCAATGGAGAGATACCATAATGGGGAATAACCGGGTCAAGATAAATATTGCCAAAAATAAAAAAACTGTCAAAATAACAAGGTAATATTTTTTTTTACATAATGGTTCACGTGTCATATAATTGTTCACAAATAAATATGTGATAGTACTTTGTTTTCGACAAAATCTTTGTGTGACATAACTTAAATATGACCATGACTGTTTATTGTCCTTGACCTTCAAGGACAAATATAAAATTCCATTTTAATCTGTAAAACGTAGCCATTTATGCTTAATGCATGGGTGAAAGTTTTCAGGATTATTCCTGAAGTTCAGGATTTTCAATCTTCTGAAAGTCTCCTGTTTCCTATGTAAAACTAAAGAAAAATTGCTAAATTCAGGATTTTAAAAAAAATTTCCAACTTTCACCCATGTTAATGTTAGCGTTACACTATAGACGCGTCAATGAAAAATGATTCTTTTACACTTTAAATAGTCTTTATCTTTGGTATGTGCTAAATAGAATATTAAAGAGTATTGAACCTACACTTATTCAGTATCCTTCATATATGCAATAAGATATTATTAAACTTAAATACAAAATAAGACCTTGACCTATGTTCATAAAGTTCTCTTTCAATGTTTTTTTGCATTTGATAAAAAAGTCAGGTTTGGCCCCTGTTTGTGGTGGCTCTTGTTAAAGGAATAAAAGGTGCTTTGCAGGTTTTTTTTTATCTCATTCAGTGATAGTTCTAGTTCCTGTGATCAAAAGCTTATTTGCATATGGAAAACCTGTCCAACCGTGTATATTCAGATTTCCAAAATGATTCAACAAATCATAATACACATACAAAATTGCCAGTTTCTAAAGATTCAATTCTAGTTTTGATATAAAAGATTTCAGTGTATATAATATACGAATGTTATAATTACTTACAGCAATCTAAACTCAGTTAAAAATGATGACATGGATGCTGCACTGGCTGTGAACTATGTCACTAACAGATATAAAACCAACCTAGACTGTAACTTGAAGTATGGTAAATCTATAAAGTCAAAGACAAGCAAAGATACAGTAGAATTGTCTGTAGCAGCTAAACACAAGGATGACAGTTCTATTGAATACAGAGCTGACCTGCTATTTCCAGCAAAGGTTTGTTGTTGTTGTGGGGTGTTTTGTTTGTTGTTTTTTTTGGGAGGGGGGGGTATATTTTTCTTCATTTATACACAATTTATAGAGTTCAAGTTACTAATGCACTGTTACAGTGCTAGTTTTTGTGTGTGTTTTTTTTATAAATTTTAGTCATAATCTGTTTACTGCTTAAATTTTATTATTTGTTATAAAGATTTTGACAGGTTTTATTGCCCAGTAAAAACAGTTGGAATGTTTTATAACCAGAAAGATTATATCTCTGGGAAGATTATATCTCTGGGAAGATTATATAACCCTGAATCTTATATAACACAGAATCTTATACATGTGTTTATATAAATTATATAACCCAAATTGGTATGTTAGAATTATATAGAAAACATTCATTTGAACTGTTGTAGCATTGCTTTTCTAATGAGGTATAAATTGATAAAATTTGAATAAGCTAAAATACTTACATACTTTTTACGTTACAAATACATAAATTACCTGTAAAATACAGAAAGCTTATAATTTCATCAGAAAAGTACATGTACATATTGTTTACAGAATATTAATGTGACAGTTACCGGGGACAACAAGTATGAAGATAAAAGTATACAGAGTAACGTACAGATACAGTATCACCCTGAGAGAATTGTAGCATTTGATGTACATCTACACAACAGAACAGATCTCTTCTTTAACTATGCTGGAGAACTTGTCATTAAACTCCCACAGGTTTCTTATTATTTGCTTTCATATATCTAAAGCCACAGTTACTTTTATAAGAGTGTTAGCCAATTTTTCGGTCACCATTATTTACAGTAGAAGAACTTCTTAGTTACATTATGATATTGGCAAGGCACATGAGGTAACCACATCTTCTATAAACTAGCTGACAGTCATTACATGACAAGAGTTCAATGTACCGTACAATAGTTTATTTTAAACATATTTATTCTTGTTCTATAGTTATAGTTAGCTTGAATTATAGTTGAACCATTCTCCTGTCTGTTTATCACACTTACCTGTAAAAATCAGCACCAGATCATATCAGGAAACATGGCTGTTAACCCAATGTAAGTGATGGTCTAGTGGTTAAGGTGTCTACTTCTCAGCCCCGGGATAGCTGGTTTTAGCAATACCACCCAAATTCCAAGCAGTAGTTGGGCTCATATGATTTGATTTTTAGGCCCTTATTTAAATACTCTACTACAGAGAGGTGCCTGAATTTCCAAATAACATGCACTTATCATCAAAAACAAACAAGCACAATTTTCTTTTTTTAACTTTTTTTTTTATCTGGTATTTATTTGTTATAAAAGCATACATGCTGTATTTGGTAATAATGATACTCAAGAAACAAAGACATGTGACTACTTAATGCTTGCTTGTAAATGCAGTGTCAATTTTTGATATTTATATATTTGTATCTTCAGGAAAAAGAATTATCATTTGCTGGGGCTTTTGGGAAAGAAAATGACAACAAGTACATCAGTAATCTGGAGTTTGAAATTATCAAAGGTCGTCGTACAAGAATCGACACAATGCTGAAAATTGCCACACAAAAAATGTACGAGTTTGAGATTGGAGTAAAACTTCCACAGCTAGAGCCAGTGCGTATACTTGGCTCATATACCAATGAAGAAAATGGCCATTCTGTTGAAGCCTCATACAAAAAAGGAAATGATCTGTACAGAATTATTGTTGAGGGAGCATATGAGAAGGAAGTAAATGGTAAATTTTTGTTTGATGTGACGGTACCATCACGTAGGGTCAAGGTCAATTTTGTATCATCACGTGTTGAAACAAAAAGTCATATGCTATTTGATGTACAGTGGAATGCTGACAAGAATCTAGATGATCGTTTCCTTACCAACTTGACTTCTGACTTTGTTAGTTGGGCCGATTTTGAAATAGCATATCTATTACATTACCCCACACGTACCATCAACTTTGACATGAAACACGCAGCTGCTGCAAGATACATCACAAATATTGAACTCTCCTGGAGTCCAAAAGAAAAGCTTGAATTCAATATAATTTTCAGAGATGACAAATTTAACAGAGCCGACAGAACCGAATTGGCTGTAGATTTCATCAGTCCATTTGAAGGATATGAAGAATTGGGTTTAGCAGTTTCATTGATCAGAGATTCAGCACAATTTCAGACAAAGAGCAGTGTTACCTGGGCTAAGAAGAAGAAGGTGTTAGTATCTGCAACAGCAAAAATACCATTTGACATCAATAGTATTGATATTGCAGGAACCATAAGTACACCATTTGAGACATACAAAAGTATGACAGCTAAAGTTAAACATCGCCTTAATGATGACCTGAATTCAAATATTCTGATAGAATGGGGGAGAAACAGGCTTTCATTGAACACATCTGGTGCTATTCAGTACAATAAGATCTCACGCTCATTTAATGGGAAAATAGATTTCCGTTCACCATTTGAGGGCCTTAGGGCCATGATTATCAATGCTGAGCATAACGATGATTCTAGAACATTTAAGTCAAAGTTCACAACTGATCTGTCCAAATTTTCTTCACAAACAAGTATGGACAAGTATACAGTAGAGATTGACATGACTCATGATTATTCTTTAATTGGCTTGAAAAATCAAGGTGTCATCAAAGTACTTATTCCTAATGATGATATTCCGATCACTTGGGAGGTTAGCAGTTTGAGTGATAGCTCGCGGATTATGCTGGACATACAACCAATTCGTGGCAACAGATTTAAGTTTGATTTTAGTGAAACACATCAGCTTCAACCATTTAGAAAACTAAGTTCAAGTTTTGAATTTTTGATCCCAACAGAGGCAATACAGGAACTGTTAATTTCCTTCAGTCATGAGGATAGACTTGGTTACTTGAGGACAACAGGTTCAGTTGTCAAAGATAACTTAAATATGATGTCTGCCGATGTTAACTACCAGAACATGTATGGAACTGTTAGAGTAAATTCCAACCTTAAAAGTATCTATACAGAAGATCTTACTATGAAATTCACATCTGCTCATAGCATTATGCCGTACATCAGTGACCTTGAAATCAAATATGGTGGAAAGGACACGCCATATAAGGTGAAGGCAGAGAGTAGTATCTTTTATAATGAGTATGGGGTATATGCTAACAGTTTGAAAATATATACACCATTCCCTGGATTCAATATGTTCACAATTACAACTTCCCGAAATAGACAAGGTCGTAAATGGAACACTCAATCAGAGGTTAATATTGATGATAAAAAAGTAAATGTTGGAGTGACTTACAGGTTTGATCATGTTAAGCAAACATCATTGTCAATAAAAACTTCATTTCCACAATTTCCAGGGTTGGATACATCTTTCATGATAGATGGAACTCTGACAAACTTCAACGGAGATGCATCATTTATCATGAGACCATATGTCGAAAAAATTTCATCTTATTTTACGTGGTCGTTTTACCAAGGATCAAGCCTAGCTGGTAATTTTAATCTGACTACACCATTTACTCAGTACCCATACATGAAGGCTAAAGTTGACAGCAATCTTTTAGGAATGTCTCGTGTATCAGGCTTTGAGATTGAGTATCTGCCTACACAAGTGGTAAAAGTAATATCCGACTATAGATTTACATCTTTAGAAACTCTTGAAGGAACAGTCAAAGTTACAAGCCCTTATACGATGAATAAAGAGGTTACTGCTGGTTTTACCCATACTGGAAATAGGGAAGAATTTAAGACTGAAGCCAAGATCACTTGTGAATGTTTCAAAAAACCTGTCTTTACAGAGGCGACATTTTCCTCGAAAAATGGTGTTGTATCGACATTTGTTATGGATAGTCCATTCCGAGGATATGAAAGTGTAAAGTGGAATTTGAACCATAGAGGTAATCTGGAGGATTTCAGCACAACAGCAGAATATGAAACTAATGGGAAGAAGATAACATTAGAAAATATGTTTAGTATGAAGAAAGATATTCACTATAAGATAACATTCCTCACACCTTTTGCCAATATTTCACGTAGTCATATGGAGTTCAGACATGAAGGTAAATTCCCTAATACAAAAACTCATGCTGAAGTTGGATACAACACAAACGTTTTATCTTCTGATATTGACTTGCAAAATAACAGAAGATCCACAGTTTTTAATGTTGCTGTTAAAACACCTTTTGAACGCTATGAGAATATGAATTTAGACTTAAGTAAAACTGGATCTTTGAATGATTTTAGTGCAAAAGCTGAACTACAATATGATAGATTATGGCATGCTTCTTTGAATCATAAATTTGATGGCCAAGACTTATCAACAAGTTCTCTCTTGAAATCTCCATATTTGCCAAATGATGTATCTCTATCCTTCAACCATTCTGGACAACCACTTGACTTTATCACCAAAGTTGAGTATACCCTTGGTCCATCCTATAAGACATCAGGTGAAACTCAATTTTTATTTGCTCTTCCAAATTTGACTGCTTCAAGCAAATTTGTCACAAAAATAGGTGAAGAGACACGGGTAAATGCAGTTTCATTAGAGCATAAATTCATTAAACAAGATAAAGATTTAGATATTTCAACAGCACTTCTAGCACAAATTAGAGAGAAAAAAGCAAAAGCAAACTTCAAATTTAAATTGCAAGGTGATATTGAAAAGGACATTACATTGCTTACTTACATAGTTGTTGAAGTCCCACATGCTAATTTCAACTACAACAAGATATATTACGAATCTAACAGCAGGTCCACAGGTTTATCTCGCGCACAAACTGTTACATTTATGTTTGAAACACCAATGTTGGAAAAGGCTTATTATACTAGTACTTCATCCATGGATGAAAAGATCATTAATGCATCTGAAAGGTACTCTTATGGTGATTATGTTTTAACAAATGAACAAGTTTGGCAAAAGGGAAAATATCATTTCAAAGGGACAATTCCTTTGGAGGGATTTGAAGAGACACAGGTGGATGTGACCTATGGAGGAAACTTATTTAACAAGAAGGAAATGGCAACACTTCCTGATGTAATTAATTGGAACTTTGATACAACCATCACCCAGACATCTCTTGATGCCCCTGTTAAAGTCACTCTAATTGGAAATATCAACAAAAAAGAAGAGAAAGTGAAATTTGTTACCAACAATGTCAAGGTTGTGTATGGACAAGGCAGTGAAGTAAATGTGGACTTAACATACAAGCCAATGAGAAGTGTATTAAAAGTCACAACACCATTCGAAGGATATGAGTCCTCAGAATTGGAAACCACCTATAATACTAAAGATTATGAAAGAGATTACAGTTTGTCTGTAACAAGCTCTGCCCTTGAATTACCCATTGAACTGACATCTCAGTTTAAAGTGAATCCAAACCAGATTAAAGATTCTGTAATCTTTCAAAAGTTTACGAGTGGTTTCACTAATTTTACTCACATTGAATGTGAAATAAAGGCTGAAAAGTTACGTCTGCTTTGGGAAGATAGCACAATGACAGAACAGGTGATAGACATAGAAGGGCCTGTGTTTGTTCAGAACATAGGTAATGATAAGGTTGAAGTTGGTGTTCATATGACAGTCACTACACCCTTTAAACAATTAGAAGATATGAAAGTAAACTTTGAACACAGGCATTACACTTCCCCAATGAGAGCAAAAGAGGTAATTTTGGTACAGTACAATAGAAAAAAATACTTTGATATAGATGCAGAGGTCGGGGCTTTGAACAAGTTTTCAGGCAGTTTGATGTTCAGGGAACCAAGGCAGATGGAATTTAGTTTCAGTGGTTTGAATGAAGGTCAAAGCGTAAATGGGGACTTGTTGCTCAACTGGAATAAACTTGAACAAGACAGTAACTTCAGGTTCCAGTTTGGTTTAGCAGACAGTGGAGATATGATGAAAGAAAAGAAAGTTTTCCATATTCGTATAACTAACCCTGGAAGAATTGTTAGCTTACACAATAACTTTGAGAGGACTAAGAACACAATATCAAGTTCAGGAAAGATTTCATGGGATGAAAAGGAAGGCAAGGAAACATCATATAACCTTGAATATTCTAGAATGTTTTCTAGAGGATCATTATTAGACAGCTTAGATTTGAAGGTCATTCTTCCAACCAGGTCAGTAGAAATGTCTGGTTCATACACAAATAACAGTGGACAAGTAGTCAGTACAGGAACTGTGATGTGGGATTCCGAGAATGATCGTGACAAACAAGTGCAGGTCAAGGTCACCTTGTCTCCCACTGATATCAGGAAAATGGCATCACTAGATATCAAACTACCCAGCATGAATAAGGTTCTTCTTTTTCTATACAATTCTTATATCTTTAAATATTTTTTTATAGTTCTTTTTTATGTTCATAGTCATTGATTGAAGCTTAAGAAAGCTAATGTTTAGTTTGCAGAAATTCTTATAAATATATTCTATGATTAGCATTTTACTATCAAGTGAAAAAAAAATTCAATGGAAAATGAGAAATAATGAATAAAACTCAACAAAAATTCATTCTAAGCTGAGCAAGGAATTTTCTATTATGTAACTTTGTGTTGAAGATTATAGTTTTTGAGATCTGATATGATAATTCTAGAACTTCTTGATATCTTATGTTTATACTTAAAATCATTATTTACTTTTTAATTCATCACATTTATCAGCTTATATAACCTTTAAAAAGTGTCATATACCTTGCGGTGTGCATTCAAAAGAATTGTATATTTAAAGTTTGTTGTTTTTCAAGGGTTAATTATTGTATTTTTATTTTTTATAGAACATTTAAACATGTTTTTTACTGTTTTATCTCATTGGTTAGGACTTGTCACTTAGTACTGAACTTGCTCTCAATGATGGAAGTCGATTACTGGACGGACAGACAAAACTATCTTACTCACCAAATGAGAACAAAGCTGTGTTGATAAAGTACATTATACAGAAAGAGGAAGGTGACCAGCCAAGTTATAAGTAAGTGATCAATACAATTATTGTGTAATACATTTTAGTGTCACCTGTGCTACATACAGGCCACCTGAAATATAGACTACATGTAATAAAAGCCTGTCAAGAAAAGCCCAGCTTTGTAATTTCTAATTTAAACAAATACAAAGCAAAACAACCCAGTTATGACATCAGAGAATACTAAAATTTCATTTTCTGAAGTTGACATAGACTGGAATTTGATGACTATGTAAAACCCTTAGAGAGGTGTGACTCAAAATTTAAGGCAAAACTATACATATATATGAGTCATTTCTGATCAGTGTGTCAAGAAATATATGGGCAGGATTTATTAATTTGAGTTTTTATTTATCTTGTTTTTCAGTCTGATAAAATATAAGAACAATAATGTCAGTCCAACTTATGTGGTTTGCTGTACCTTATATTGTAACTGCTTGGGTTTTTGCTTAAGAATTGCAATTTGATTGATTGATTACAAACCTGAATACTATGTTTTGAGAAGTCAGCTTATTCTAGTCTTTTGCCTGCTGATATCCAAATCCTTTTCTTACTTTTCAGGGCTGGATGGAGTTTGGATCATATTTACACAAAGACACATGTTGCTATGGTATCCACCTTGTCCAGTAATGGTGCCGTGACATCTGGTGATCTTCAGTTGAAGTACCGTGGCACAGAAAAGCATTTGACAGCATTACAACTTCAAGCTGAAGTCGACAAAGATGAAAGAAAAATGAACATAAAGGTAGATTGATCATAATACTTAATGCAACTTAAATGGTGGTTCCTCTTAAGCAACAAAATATTGTTAGAGTTTCATCAATTTTGATTAACAGCTTACTATAATTGATTGATTATTCAACGATAACAGTGTATATAGCATGATATGACAAATAATAAAATTGGCTGAAGTCAGATTAAATACCAAGATATGACATATTACAATATTGGCTGAATCCTGAGTTTGTACCAGTAAAGGACAAATTGTAATATTGGCTGAAGCCAGTTTAAATACTATTATATGACACATTACAATATTGGCTTAAGCCAGTTTTATACCGTGGTATGACAAATATTTGAATATTGGCTAAAGCTATGTTATATACAATGATATGACATACTTAGATATTAGCTTAAGCCAGTTTTATACCATGGTTTAACATATTACAATATTGGCTAAAGCCGCATTGTATACAGTGATATGACATACACTGTATTTAAATACACACATGTATTGGCTTAAGGCAGTTTTATACCATGATATGACATATTTAAATATTGGCTTAAACAAGATTATATACCAAAATATGGTATATCCAGATATGATATGTTAAAATATTGGTTTAAGACAATTAATGGCTACATTTCATATCACAGCATTCATGATTAATTTGTATGTTTATCATGTACATATTTATTCAGGCAACCAGTCCTAGCCAAACAGCAGAGGTAACAGGTCACATGACCTCAGAATCACCTTACATTTTTACGTTGACAACATCTCGCAATATGAAACCAACATGGAAGACAGTGTGGTCTGTTGATACTGAGAAGAGAAGTCTTGATGCCTCTATGACTTATGGTATAACTTTTCTGTTTCAAGTACTTTCTACCCGTTGGTGTTACAACATAATTATATCTGTCTCCCCACTCCTCCAACACTGTCACAATTTATTTATAAAAAATAGTTTAAACAATATTTTATCTATAATCTTTACACCAATATAATAAATTAGATGAAAGTAAATTTAAAGAACTTATAAAGAAGCGTGAAAACTTTTCTTTGCAATTCTCTTGAATGCACACCACAAGGTATATGACACTTTTTAAAGGTTATATAAACTGATAAATGTGATGAAATAAAAAGTAAATACCGGGTAATGATTTTAAGTAAATATCTGCATCATAATCAAGTACATGTAAATAAAAACAAAGGGGGGATTTATATAAAATTCATATTTCAGATAATTTCAATGGTCAGATAGTAACCAAGGCTTTCTTCCCTAATTCTACATCATTTGAATCTGAGACAACTACCCAGACATCATCTGATACTGTACAGGAGGGACGTATGACAATGACTAGAGAGGACCGCAAGGTGAACGTTCATCTAAAATGGAGGCCACAACTCATCTCGGAGGCTACAGTGAGTTCTGTGTATTAACATGTCAATGAATAATCTATACAAAGTATAGTTTCATTTAGCCATGACTGAAATAAAAAAAGTCAAAAGTTTTTTTAATCAGTTGTATTCATAAAATTAATACTTCAGTTATACTTTTTTTAGCTTGTCTGTTTTGAAGAGACAGTCAAGCTATTATGATCGCCGCGGCATCTGTTGTGTTGTCAGTGTCGATGTCATCGTGGAAAAACTTTCATCTAGCTCATATCTCTAATAGTTTTAAAGGTATCAATATGAAACCTGGAATGCTTTCTTATAGTGACTAGACAAGGGGTAGAATTTTGAAAGCTATATTTTTGGAGTTATGCCCCTTTCTAACTTCTTGAATTTTGTCAAAAGTGGTTGTGTTTACAGATGAGCATTAACGCTGCATTGGGTGCTCTTGTTTTGTTTTAGAATTATGGCGCGGAGGCACTGCAGCAATTGAGGAATGAGATGAGCCCAGTGATGCATGACAGCATGAAGGAAATAGGAGAAGTACTCCTGCAGAAACATCGTCTCATCAGCTCTAGTGTTAACGAGGAGCTTTCTCCATTGTCTGCAAGTATCGGGGAGGAAATGAAGTCTCTTCAACAAGATATGAGAAAGATGCGACGTGAGCTGAAGAAGATGTACCGAGAGAATGACCTCTATCTCAAAACTATTGAGGAAACCTACTCAGGATCTGTTAAAGCTATACTGTATGTTGAAATATTCTTGATTTATATCAAGATTTAATGATTTGTACAAGTATGATTTCAAACCGCATATGATCTTTATACATGTATATTCTTTTTCAAATTTCCTATTGTATTTAGAACCTCATTTACAGGTTTTTGTGTATATAGAAGAGGTAGCCATTAGTTATTAATTGTTAAACAAAATGTTTGAATTATTCTCACAGTTGATAGATATTAACATATTGTGTTCTTTGACTTTTTTTCAAGTCAAATTTTTACAAAACTTATTAGTGTTCTCTTTTTAAATTTGATTATTGTTGAAAGTTGTTTGCAAATCTGACAATATCCCTTCAGAGCTGGATACTCGGCCGTCATTTCAAAAATGGAGGTTGCTTATACCAAAACACAAGAGGCCATGGAAGAACTGTCAAACAGGATTGATCAGTATCAATTTAAGGAACGTTACAACACCATGATGAATACTGTCTCTGAGCAAATTAAGGTGAGTTGAAGGAACTGTCATAAACTTTATAGTTTAACTATTTATTGAAAACCTCTTGCTGTCAAGTAAACCATGGCACAGGAGTTTAATAAAAAATGATTTAATACTAGACTTAGAATTATAAATATGTAACATGATGTCATTCAGATGATACAAAAATAGCATAAAAGGCACCAATGTTAGCATAACACTTTCTAGTGTATCGATAGCAAAAATAAAGCTTCTCTTGAACTGTTTACAATTACATGTACATATTTTGGGTAAAATATTTATATTGAGTAGGTTCATAACTAAAGTTATTGAACTCATTCAATAAAATAATATGCTCACCAGTGACTCCCTTAATATTATTTTATTCATCATGTTCAATGAATTCAGTATTGAACTTACACTCATTCAGTATTCTCTATATATCAGCCCACTTACAGGGCTCTACAAATTTTTTTGGAATAGAGTTGTCCAGGACAACTGACCTAGCAAAATAGAGTTGTCCCAAAATTGACCACAAGTGTCCAAGTCTCGGTAAATGTTCAGTATGCGTAGTATGTATACTATATCCAAAGAAGAAGTAAAAACAATTAATTTTTTAATATTTTTAAGTTACATTTTGTATTTCATTTAGTATAAAATAGAACATTTTGTTTCAACTGAAATAGTTTTGATTGTTCAGCACTATTCCCAGGTACCTTTCATCACTGTTCAAGTTTAATAGCCTGTGTAGGCCTATATGTTTTGTTTCAGTTTTATTTTTTTTCCTGAATTTTTATCCTTGATCTTGAAAATTTAAGTAAAATTCCAACATGAATGTAGTTAGCCATAGCCTCTCTCAGTTTCCAAATTTCACATTGGACATGGTAAATAAGAAAAAGACAGTCATTAATATTACCCGGTAGGGAAATATAAAATATGATAGTGAATTAGACTATTCAGATACTTACAAATCTCATCATTATTTATCTAAACATTGTCAAAAGTCCTTTTGATTCATAAGAAACAAAAGATTTTTTAATATTTCTACTTGCTGCAGAGCTTTAAACTTATTAAAACTGCCTCACGATTTATATAAAAAAAATCGGCATCGCGAAAATATGTGACAAATGAAATATTTTCTGTTTACCTCATACATTATACTATTTTAACTATTGTATGTTCGAATGCATTTAAAATAGATGCTTTTTGGATATTTTAATATTGATTTCCACTTAGGAATTTATCAAAAAGCCTAAAACAAAAAAATCCAAATTTTCAATTCACGGCACAAATTACTGTCTGCTTGTGTCAATGTATCAACTTCAAAGACCAAGTCTGTGACTTAATAATGTTTTTGACTTGTCTATAATAATGTTGGACTTTGTCTTTAAGATTTTTATCAAACATTTAGTGTCTTATCTATTTTTATTGCCTGTGGCAATGTAAAATTAATTAGCGTAGCAACTGCTGAGATTGATTGCCTCAGTCGAAGATTACCGGCGCACCATGCTGTGAAGGGTCGTATTAATAAACATAATTTTACAGTTGTCCAAGATTAGCATCTGTCAAAATTTGACTTGTCCGGGACTAACTTTCTGCTTATTGTCAGTTGTCCCAAGTGGTTTTAGAGTTGTTTGGGACGTCGGACTATAGGATTTGTAGAGCCCTGACTTAGGATAAAATCCATTCCATGACACGTTTGATTTCAAAGATTGAAAAAGAATATGTTCATTTGAGCTCCCCCCACCCCCACTAATTAAAGCAATTAAATTGTTTTCTGTTTTACAGTCAGGGGAGGTAATTGTGAAGAAAGAATTAGAGATGATATTTACTGTTCTGACAGAGAAGGTTAAAGAGTTAGCTACCCTGTATGATGATACAATTAAAGATATCTCTAAACAAGTACAAAAAATGATCGAAGGTAAGATCCAGATAAATTTTTATAACATAACAGTTATGTGTTTACTGATACATTATACACAGTTGTTTATACTTAAAATGACATATATCTGGTTTTGAGGTTATAAACTTTTTTCTGTGTTCTGTCTTTCATTGGTCAGAGTATATTCTGTGCCAGTTTTTGACCAGTCAAATATCTGAGATCAGAGTTTGAGCTTAGAGAATCTCTTTATAACCTCAGACCCAGATCTGGCCAGCTTTGATGTCTGGAGATAATATTTTCATGTTCAGATTTGTTTTCCAGACTAAGCTTAACAACTGTGAATATATTGCATCTTTTTTTTTTCTGTTCAATTTGGAAAATGATGTTGTTCAATAGGTCAGTAAAAGATATGTCATTTAGATATGTCATTTATGTTTTGATTGGCATAAATGTTGACCGTAAGAATTCCTTCTACCTTTTGATTTGTAACTGCAACTTTTCATATCAGTTCAGTCAGAGGGGTCTTTAAAATATAAATATTACTTTATTACTTTTAAGTGTCTTTATGTGTTAAATTATTTGGAAGGAAATGTAAAATGAAACATTTTTTTTAAAAGAAAGGTAAATTGATTTTATTAAGAATCATTTTAAATAAACTAGCAACTTGGGTATTGGATATTTCCTTGATCAAGAAACTTACACTCATTGGTCAGTACTGCTTGGTTCAATGAACAGATATGCGAGTATCTAAAAGCATAATTACAGATTCCTACACAATGTAACTAAAGAAATTCTGTATAAACTAACCTGTACAAATGAACATGTGTCACATATAAGAGTTAGAGTGAATGTTTTGTTTACAGTTCTCCTGGATGAGCTAGCATTGACACCATATATAGATGATGTGAAAGCAGCTTATAACAAAATCGTTGAAAGTAACCCTGGACTAGACAACACACAAATCTTGAAGGTTATTAATGAAGTACAGCAGGTAATATGTCTTAAGTTTATTGCTCTATCTTATTGTGTAGCATTTACTTCACTAAATTTGCAAAATTGATATCCATTGTTTTGCATTTGGAACTGTTTATTCTTGATTTCAGGGTTTTTTTTACATCAAAAATACTAAACCAAAGCACTTTCATTAAAGGCTTACCAATACAAAGGATATAGAGCCAGACAAACTCCCATATCTGCCCTGTCTGACCAAACTAAATAGTATAGGCTGATCACTTCTTATAATATATTAGCTATTGACAATTCAAATGGCAAATTAAAAGCTGGGCTAGACACTGATACTGATTTAGCAGGATTATGGTTAACTTGTTTACCTTGCAGGGCTTTTTTCCCTTCTATAGCAGGGGCTGTTATAGAGTTGCTTCCCCAAAGAAAAATTCTTTAAAATCATGCAGTTATCCCCAAAAATTGAATTTATATCAATTTGTTTTCTTCCCCTATTTCAAATACATTGTATTCTGTGTAATTTTCCCAAAAAATTAAGGGCAGGGCTGCTTCCCCAACCTGTGAAAAAAAGTCCTGCCTCATTCTTGCTAAATGATTCAATAAATGTATTTCTTAGTCATTAATATAGGTGCCACAATTGTTTAAAAGAAATGTTTTGTATGTATGTTTTCCCTTTTCTAATTGCAGCTTAGTTTTTTATGTTTTAATATACAGCTAATACAAGATTGAAAAATGACATGTCATTATTGTGATGCCATTATTTTGTAGATGCTTCTTGAGTCCATGGAGAAATCTACCTTCATAGAGAAATACAAGGCATTATATAAACATACAAATGAACTCTTGTCTGACAAGTTTGGTGACATCATGGCCAGTGAGGATATACAAGAAATGAACAAAGCTATCCTTGACCTTTATGAACAGGTACTTCTTTATTTAAGAGAATCTCAAATCTTTTGTCTCCTCAGGATTGTATTTATAAATGCATAACCTTGTAAATTATCTGATTTTTTTTCTCATTAACTTCATGTTTTATCAAGTTATTAAATTGTTCAAAACTGTCTGCTATATTTTGGTTCTTTGTGAGGCATGTAGACACTTTTTTGAATCCTTTTATATACCTATAATAATTGTTTTGTATGTGTTATATTTTTAGGTATCCTGGTTGTATACATACACAGAAATCAATGTTTCACTGAGGGAACTTATCCAAGACATTCATGATGCTATCAGGTCAAAGGTCATGGAAAATTTCAATGATTTACCACTTGGTCTCCTTGACCTTCACAAGTCAAAGGTTGTCACATTCGACCTTCAAAAAGGAGAAGTTGAATTTGATCTGTACCTGCCATATCCAATGGAGAACTTCAAATCACTGATGAAAATGACATATGATAGATATATGAAGAAGGTTAAAGCGTTGGCTGACAAATACTTCCCGAGGAGAGATATCTGTTTGTCTGATTTCTACTATAGATTACCTCATGTACGTTGGAGCATGAGTAAAGACTGGACTCCACCATTTGATGGTAATATACTGAAATTTTAGCTTTCCAAAAAAATGCATAATTCCATTTTATTTATTTATTTATTTATTTGAAGAGTACATGTTTACTTGTGATATCTGATATGAAATTACAAAGTTTGGTGTTACATGTTTTTCGATTTGGTAATTCGGAGGAGTGGGTTGCTTGTTTAGTTACAAAACAAGAAAAGATAAACTTAATATTCTTAATAAAGTCAAGAAAGACAATTCATTATTGTAAAAGTTGTTTATAAAGACTTAAAATTACACCAAACAAATGACAAATGAAGAAAAACATAATACCTCTTAAATATTTGTTAGTTAAAGATTATTCAGGAAACTTGTATTTTGTCACTTTTAAAAAAGGATTTCTTTGTTTGTTGTTGTGTTTTCATGTTATGTATATGTACATGTTTAGATATAAGTTTTGTGTTTTGGGGTGTTTTTTTGTCATTAATTATTCTATATATATTTTATTACAGTATTTGGTACAGTATCTGGCAAGCAGCATTTTACAACATTTGATGGTCACCACTATGATGTATCAGGATTATGTAGTTATATTCTAGCTCAAGATGTTGTCACCAATAACTTTTCTGTCGTTCTCAAATACACTGGTGGGTCTAGGACTCTTGCCAAAGAGTCTATTATTGCCATTGTAGATGGCAAAGTGGTAGAAATGTTCCAAAATTACATGGTATTTATTTTTTAATCAATTTATTGCTAATTTTTTTTTTAATAAGATTTCTCCTTTTTAAAAATTCGGAACTGAATATCATATTTTAACTCAGTACCTGCTAGAACCCAAAGTTATTAGTCTGCCAATATATGTATTGAGGTATTAAAAACCATTTTACTTCAATTGAAAGTTCCAAATTGAAAGCAGGACAATTCTATTATACAAAGTCAGCAGGATAATTTTCACTATGATAAAAGATCATGTACTGTAAAAAGTGTTAGAAATCACAAAATACATAAATATTTTCTATCTGAAACAGCAAATTTTGATAGATGGGAATAAAATGATTAAATTGACAAATTATGAGAGCTGTGATATATATGATGATTGACTGTTGTAGGTTAAGGTAGATGGCCAGCCAACAGAGTTACCCTTCCGTTCAGACAGACTGACAATTGTCAGAAATGGTAATACAGTTTCCCTGGACAGCAGTATTGGACTGTCTGTGGTATCCGACTTTAGCAGAGATTACCATATTGTTGCACTAAGTGGCTGGTATTATGGTAAAGTTGGAGGTCTACTTGGTAACATTGATAACGAGCCAAATAATGATTTGACAACCCCAGAGGGTGAGACAGATCCAAAGTTGAGAAAGTTCTTGAACTCATGGGAGGTGGACAGTTCTTGTAGATCTACCATGGCTTATTCAGAAAATGAACCAAAGGTGAAATCACCTGAATGTTCAGCAGTGTTTGATGCATCAAGTTCATCTCTCCGTCCTTGTTTCATATTGGTAACTGTTCTTCTTATTTGTATACATTATTATTATTTTTTGTACAGGTCTACACTTTTTCTGGAAATTTTTCTTAATCCTTTTGCTAAAAGTCATAAAAAACCAATATTAAACCAAGGAAATCAATTCATATTCCTACATGAAGATACCCTTCTTGTTTGTAAATAGATGGTTCTGTGAGAGGGACAGGTAAACCCATTGTGTTGGGAGAGAAAGGGTTAATCTGTAAGCCATATACTGGCACCCATTTAACTAAACAAGTACATTTGAAGTGCTACCAAAGAGAGAAAGTTTTTCATTACAGCTTAATGATCAGCTATTTTCAAAATCATGGAGTTGCATAAATAAATGCATGTCAAAATTGTTGATTCAGCTATTTTGTAGAATAAACTTAGAATACCCGTAAATAACTTATAATCAAAATGTAATTGAACCTTTTTGTTTTTCAGGTAAAGCCAGATATGTACGAGCATAGTTGTAATATTGAGCCATCAGCTGTATGTGATATTGCCACACTGTACAGTGAAACTTGTCACAGACATGGCATCACAGTCAACATCCCAAACTCATGTGGTATGTTTGCTATAGATTTTTTGTGAAAATTCTCTAAGTCCGAATATAAGGTGCGTAACTAAAATAATTCGGTAATTTAAACATAGTGTGAAAATCTCCAAACTTTGGAACTAAAATAATTTAGTAATTCAAATATAATGTGAAAACCTTTAAATTTTTAAGATTTTTTTTAAATTTTAGTTTTTCATTAACTTGACTATTAAGTAATTCAATAAAAACAAAAATGATGAGATTTGCATGTTGACTGCTATCTTTTATCACTATTGCTTTTAAGCAAAAACATAATAATTTGGATAAAGATATTGTGAACTCGGACTTGTTATTTCAGTGAAGTGTCAGGCAACTAACTCAGTGGAGTACGGCTCTGATGAACCTCTCAAGTATGAACAAACTAGTACCAAACAATTACATAACTCCATGGATGTTGTATTTGTGGTAGAGGAACGCCAATGCAACAAAGACATCTCTGATAAACTGAAAAATGTCATCTACAGGCTTGAACAGTCTCTCATTAAATCAGGTACCATAATTCTTTATATACTTGTATTGTAAAAAAAATATTTTTGATCTTTTCTTGCAAATAAGATTAATTCCGAGTTAATTCATTATTGCATAATATGTTAATTTTGGTCAAATATTTCTGAAAGAATTCATACATATATTACTTGTGATGTATTTTAAAGATATTCAAGGTATTTATTTAACCTTTTACCCCATGAGCATATTGCGAAAATTGGCCGTTTTCATTGAAAAGCCTCCTGTAACAAGTTCAAACTGCTATGAAACTATGAAAAATGCTTCAACACTGATGAAACTTGATACAAATGTTGACTAGACCATAGCCTCTGTAACAGCATGTTCAAACATAAATTTCCTGTTACCATGGCAATGGGGGATGTCTCAAAATTGCCAAAAATCACTATTTTGCATTGTTTTTTAGATCAAAACTAATTTCAAAGTGCTGCAACTTCTCAATGAATTCAGATAGAGTAAAAGGCTTTTCAGTGTCGGTTACTAGTTACCAAAAGTTGTCGAATCTCGTCTATATCAGGGAAGGTTAATTTCAGCTATCATTGCTAGTAGTGAACATTAAATGAATATACTTTTCATAATTCTAGTATAAAAGTATACCTTTGGGCAACAAAATATATACATGTATTTAAGTAATTTTGTCTGGAATGTTGATTATTTTGTAATATAGGGTCTTCAGATAACAGGTACAGTTTGGTAGGATATGCTGGAAGCATGATAGACTCACATACAATGGAGGGACAACTCTTTAATGATGCTACAAAGTTTGCCATGGGACTTGAAAACTTGAGATTCAACAATCTTGGCCCTTACACAGATCCTTTGTCTGCCTTGGAGTATGCAAGCAAGCTTCCATTCAGAACGGCCATCAAGAAAACTGTAGTACTTGTTAGGTATGTCCTACAGTTAATGTAACACAAATTAATTGAAAAAAAAAAATAGTAAAATTGCTTTTTCCATTTCTATGTTATATTGCTAGGCTATTGCATATGTTGACACTACCCTTATAAGTACATGTACAACTAAAATTATGTTATGTAAAATCCAGTTTCATTGGATAAATCATATTCTATATTTAATTTTTTTATACTTTCATAACATTCTGTATTTACTCGTCCAAGACTTTTGACCAAAGGTCAAAGTTGTATTGTGGTTAGCATGTTGATAAAACTTACGTATAGCCAAAACTCATAGTACATCATGTTGCAATGATAAATGAGCTAGTCCTTGCCATGCTTAATATCTTACACAGACTTGTTTATCCTTCAATCTGGACAAAATCATTCATATTTTTTGGGGGGGGAATTTTCAATATAAGTTCTGACCAAATAGCAAACAGTACAGACCATGATCAGAAGACATGAATGTGCAGCTGAATTTGGTCAGCACTGGACACATGGGTAGATTTAGTTTTTAGCAGCTTGCTAAGAGTTTAGTTAAGTTAGCTGGCTGGTTCATAATGTAACTATTGATGTAATATAAACATTTGTTGTTATTTCAGTTGTTCACCATGTGAGGAAGCAAATGGCTATAGTTACAACACACTGTTATCAGAATTACAAACATTAGATATATCTCTACATGTACTGAGGCAGCAAGGGTTCCGTCTTACCACTAACCGAAGTCCAAAATCACAAATATTCGGTAAAATTTATTACATTGTATTTATTTATTTATGTCTTCCGATAATTGCCTAAAAGTTATAGTTATTTTTATTAAGAGAGTTTTTTTTTTTTATTATATATATTGAACAATATTATGTATGTGATTATACACTATGTATTTAATCATTCCTTCGATATTAGAAATAACACATTCATCCCATGTTTGTTGTTATAAATGTGATATCTTCTAAAGGCTGAAATTTAGAAGAAAAAAGGTTTTTACATGATTCAGGAATTCTTTAATTAGATATTTTCAGTATTATAGAAAGAAACAATACTTTATTCACAGGTATAGACAATGACGAGGCGTTTTTTGGACAGAGGAGAGACGTTGATGTATTTTCTGACCTTGACATTCCGGTAGACTACTGCTCATCTCTTGCGTTAAACAGTAGCGGTTCTATCTTTGACTCTGGTAACCTATTGGTAGGCAATGTGAGAGAGCGGAGGAAATTTATGGACAGTTTTAGTGGCCGTGTACAACAGAAAGAATCCACTTGTCAAATATGTAGTTGTGAGCTTGACCAGTCTGGAACTCCACGCTCTATTTGTCGACGCTGTGATAGACAACCTCTGCTCAACAAGGTAATACTGCATTATTATTCTTGCAAATTTGAATAATTTTTTTTAGTCCCCTACCAGTTTACCGGAGGGGAATTTAGGTTTACCCTCCGTCCATCTGTCAGTCCGTCAGTCCGAGTCACTAAAATGGACTAAAGGGCCATCTAACTGTAAACAGAACAAAAGAGAACAATAGAGTTCATTCCATAACAATAGAATAAGGGGCCATGGCCCTCTATTAAACAAAAGAAAATAACAAAAGAAATGGCCCTTTAGTCCATTTTAGTGGCACATCCGTCCGTCCACAAAACTGGATCCCGCGATAACGCAATAAGTACCGAAAATATTTTTATGGAACTTGAAATATGGATAGATGGCAGTATGGAGATTATGTACGTCATTTTCTTTTCTTCCTATGTTGAAAATTCTGGTTGCTATGGCAACAAATAGACTGAAAATAGGGCAAATTTTACACATAAACTGGATCCAGTGATAACGCAAAAAAGTACTGGTAATATTTTTATGAAACTTGAAATATGGGTAGATTGCAGTCTTGAGATTATGCAAGTCTTTTTCTTTTCTTCCTATGTTGAAAATTCTGGTTGCTATGGCAACAAATAGACTGAAAATAGGGCAAATTTTACACATAAACTAGATCCAGTGATAACGCAAAAAGTACTGAAAATATTTTTATGAAATTTGAAATATGGGTAGATGGCAGTCTGGACATTATGCATGTCTTTTTCTTTTCTTCCTATGTTGAAAATTATGGTTGCTATGGCAACAAATACACTTAATTTCAAGATTTCTGATTCCGATTTTTACGCTTTTTCACTGTAACTTCTTTATTTCTTAAGGTATTTACTTCAAACTTTATATATTAGTTTCTGGTCATCAACCACATCATATGTGACAAGGTTTACAACTCTAGCACAAAAATTATCAGAATTACCTCCCTTCAACTTAGAATTTTCATAAAAAAAAGTTTTTTCTTTAATAACTTCTTTATTTCTTAATGTATCTGCTTTAAACTTCATATTTATGTTTCTTATTATCACTCAACATATATGAGAAGGTTCAATACTCTAGCAAGACTATTTTTAGAATTATTCCCCCCTTGGAACTTTTTTGAAAAATTGGTATTTTTTTACTCCCAACTTCCTCATAATCTTTTTAGGATTTACTTGAAACTCCCACATCATAATAATATGACAAGATTTTTTCCAACAAATTTACTTAAAATAGAGAAAAGTTGAAACATTTGTTATACTTATTCATCCTGAGAAAACTGGACCTGATTATCTGTTGTATAAACATAATTTCCTTACTTGGCAGGGAAACTAACACATTACTATGATATATACAAACTTAGAACTCAAAAGATTTAAGTTCATTGATGTCATTCATTCATTCAATGGTATAATTGAATGGCCAATGGAGCATCAGAATGTTGCTGGGGTTCTAACCGGTAGGGGACTTATAGATTGCTTGCAATACTATGATAATTGCTTGTGTAATTTATGTTTTCTTTCCATATTTTTGAATGATTTAATTGACTCTAAGAAAAATGAAATTTTGATAATATTGTATTGAGTCATGTTGAATGATGATAAATATGGATTTTAGTTGATAATTTAATTATTTGGTACTATCTTACGTTCAAAGACACTTTAATAGTTATGACAGTTGTGTACATTGAATAATTTCAATTTCAGCCAATCACAAAAATGGTTCAAACAGCAGTGAATTTAAAAAATACCTTCTCACAGAAATTACAGGTATGGTTCTTATTTCCTATTGCAAAAATAATGACTTTGAATATGATTGAAATAGTCTTGAAACAATTTTGATGAATATGAACTAGCTTTCAATTTAGAGATACACACATGTATAAGAAATATCTTATAATTTCTCTTTTTTCCCCTTTTTTAAAAAATTAAAAGCTTCAAACCAATGTATGTTGGTTAGTAACTTCAAAGAATTTAAGTACTAAGTAATTTTATTGTAGATATTTCTGTCATTTCTTTATGATATTGGATTACTATTAAGATCATGTGGCCGCTGTTCAGCTGTACTAGTTGAAGAAGATACTATCTGTTTGTCTTTGCAGTATTTAGTGAGCATTTGCACTGGTAGAAAACTGCTTAGCTTCTGTAAACCAATTAGATAATTGACTGGCAAAAAATAAAAATAAACATTCCTTGCTGGATTTGAACCTACATCTGTGGAGATATGTTTTACTTTAACTTTATTATACTTTTCATATACTAATTGATTAATCATATAAAGTATTCTTTTACAAAGAAAATACATCTAGGTAGATATCTGTTGTCATAAATGTACTTGTTACAAGGTGCTATATACAATATTATTATTAATAAAATTGGAACAAATGATCAACACAGGTTTTAAGGTTTGTTTATTGATGTAAACTTATGTTTTCGTTTTAACTCTCATGAGTCTTCATGAGGGTTTGATACAATGTATTTACAATACTATATCTTTTTATTTTTCAGTTATTCCTATTCTAAGAGGAAAAGAAGCAAATAATCAAACTAACAGATGACTAAGGATCATTATAGAAGTTTAATTGTTTACAATTTTGTGCAAGGATAGAATATCTTGTAAACAAGAAACTTAAATAATTTTATGTTATTGGACAGTTATCTCTTGATCACATGCGAACATGTGTAAATATTATTCCATGTACTTACATTGTATTCTTAGAATTTGTTTATATTGATTTTAAAGTTGAATTAAGAAGGATTTTTCATATTGATTTACTTTTTTAAATGTTTATTTCATTTGATGTGTTGATAAATAATATAGATGTCATGTGCTGTATAGTTAGATATGAAAAAAATTTCACTGTGCTTCAGTTAGGCGTTTTAGTGGGTTGTCTCTCTCTGTAGATATATATGAGCCGTGTCATGACAAAACCAACATAGTGGGTTTGCGACCAGCATGGATCCAGACCAGCCTGCGCATCCGCGCAGTCTGATCAGGATCCATGCTGTTCGCTATCAGTTTCTCTACTTGTAATAGAATTGGTAAGCGAACAGCATGGATCCTGATCAGACTGCGCGGATGCGCAGGCTGGTCTGGATCCATGCTGGTCGCAAACCCATTATGTTGGTTTTGGCGTGACGCGGCTCATATAGACTCCAATGAACCTCCATGTTTGTTGTCAAATGGAAGTTTTAAATATGATAACCTGCTACTCTTTTAATAACAGATCTCCAAGATTAGTTAGAAGTTACATTTACACAAAATTAAACAAAGTAAAATATGTGTTATCATTCAGCTAAACTATATAATACATGCATTTTAATAGGCTTATAAGTATTTTACTTTTCATCAGTGATTATAAGATGTTTATATACATATGTATATTTTGTTTGTTTGTTTTTTCTGTAGCCTCTCGTTTGTTGTAATGTATAATATTTTAGAGCATGCAAATTATATTTACCAAAAAAAGTATTAACTTTTCATGAGATTTATTTGTGCAATTGATACATGTACGGTATATTTTACAATTCACAGACAGGTGTGAAAGTCAAATAAGAAGGGTATATTACATGCATAGTATTTCATTCTTACACAACTTTGGATGTATTAAAAAATTCTTTGATAGTAAATCTGTTTGAATGATGATTTTCTTATTAATGGCCTTCAACGTTTTGTTTTAATTGTTTTGTTTTTTAATTAAATAAAAAAAATTTGTTGAAGTTGATTACTATTAATTTGTCACCGATACATTTGTGACTGTAATTTTTATCATTTTACTAATTCAAAATAATCTGTAGAAATAAGTTAATAATTAAGCAAGCTTTCATCTCTATTTATTACTCATGCCATTAGCAATAAAATTTATTAAAAATTCTGATTATTTTTTCCCCCTGATTTACAGTTAGTTGGCCATTAAACAGGTCTTAGAGGATATTTTTTTTGTGTGGAGAGCGTGAGAGTGTGAGAAGAGAACTTTTTAAAAATGACATGTTCATGTGTATGTATTGTTCATGTGTATGTATTGTTCATGTGTATGTATTGTTCATGTGTATGTATTGTTCATGTGTATGTATTGTTCATGTGTATGTATTTTCATTAAACAGATTTTAAATGTACAAATTATTTTACTGCTTTATTTTACCCCACCCATGTCCTGGCATCCTCCATAATTGACACCATACTTGCTCTTATGATTGCACCGGAAAGTGAAACGGAAATAGAAATGTTTAAATGTTTGTATAATGTTAAAAACCTGATAAAGGGTGTGACAAGAAATACTTACATTTGAAATAGCTTTCACTTACTTATGTTGACTTTTAAACCTTTACTACACAGATTTTGCTTACAGAACATTGTTTACTGAATCAGAAATTTTCATTAAAAGCTCTGATCAATAACAAATGAGCCGTGTCACTACAAAACCAACATAGTGGGTTTGCGACCAGCATGGATCCAGACCAGCCTGCGCATCCGAGCAGTCTGATCAGGATCCATGCTGTTCGCTGTCTGTTTCTCTACTTGTAATAGAGTTGGTAAGCGAACAGCATGGATCCTGATCAGACTGTGCGGATGCGCAGGCTGGTCTGGATCCATGCTGGTCGCAAACCCATTATGTTGGTTTTGTCATGACGCGGCTCAAATGTAATGGGATGACTCTACTAACAAATGAACTGGCAAAAGGTGTAGAACCATCAAAATAGCCATATTATTATAGTCACTTTGTTAGGCAATGCTTCATAGCTTTCCTTGCTCTACATGTCCTGAAATGTTTGTTCTGTCCACATCTGTTTTCAAAATTTGACTTACTGGAATAACAATTTGATTTGTTTATTCTGTTTAACTGAGAATTTAGTTATGATTAAGTCAGCAAACACTTTCTGTAGACAATCTTAAATAACCTCTGAACTTAAGAATGAAACCTTAGGTCACATGTTTGCATGCAACAATGTTCACTCTGTGAACTATGTGAGGTTACAATGTCAATGTGAGGGTCAAACTTGATGTTGAAATCATCCATACAACCTTTCTGACAATTTCTAAGATATTTGGGCTGAAAAATTTACCTCTGTAGTGTAATCAAAGATTGTCAATATTTTTGGCTGTGCAACCTTGTTTTTAACACCATATTGTGTATCAAAACAAACATTTGCCTCTAAAATATTAATAAGATTTTTGTACTTTTTGGTCATGTGACTATGATGAACCATATTTGAAATTGTTAAAAATCTTTACCAAGTTTAAGAAGGTTCATGACAATTGAGGCAAAAATGTGGCCACTTGTGTTAAACAAGAGCCGGTTGCAACCGGGGGATGCTCCCTGAATAGGTTTTGGACACAGAAAAGTACACCTCATAGTTTCAGAGTTATGTATCGGACAAAGTTCAATGTTTCAAAAATTAGGCAAGGCAGAGTTACTATTCTTTGCACTGCACTTTTACTCAGTGAGATCTATCTCTTGTTGATACCTCTTGTAGTTTCCCAGCAATGTCCCAGACAAAGTTCATAGTGTAAAATTGACAAAAGGCAATAACTCCAAAAATAGGCAAGGCAGTGTTACGGTTCTTTTACACTGCTCATCTACCCAATGGAACTATCTACCTACAAATTTTTATGTAAATGTCTCTTTTAGTTTCAGAGTTATATCATGGAAAGTTCAAAGTGAAAAAAGGAACAACGGGCAATAACTCCAAAAGTTAGGCAAGGCAGTTTTACGGTTCTTTTGCACTGCTAATATTTACCAAATGAGATCTATCTACCTTGTTGATACTTCTTCTGGTTTCCGAGTTATGTCCCAGACAAAGTTCAAAGTATAAAAATGAACAGAGGGCAAAAACTCTAAAATAAGCAAGGCAGTTACGTTTTTTTTTGCACTGCTCTTCTACCAAATGAGATATCTATCTACCTATATAGTTTCATGTCGATAATTCTTATAATTTTAGAGTTATGTCCCTGACAAAGTTCAAAGTGTAAAAATGAACAAAGGGCAATAACTCCAAAATAAGGCAAGGCACTGCAGAGTTATGGTTCTTGTGCACTGCACATCTACCCATTGAGATCTATCTACCTACAAAGTTAAGTTGATATCTCTTATAGTTTTAGCTATGTCCCAGGAAAGAATTTTCTAGAAGAGATAATTCAAAAAAGCTTGGAACATAGTTATGGTTCTTTAGCACAGCACTACTACCCAATGAGATCTACCTACAAAGGTTCATGTTGATATCTCATATAATTTTAGAGTTATGTCCCAGACAAAGTTTAAAGTGTAAAAATGAACAAAGGACAATAACTTCAAAATGAGACATGGCAGAGTTACCGTTCTTGTGCACTGCACATCTACCCATTGAGATCTATCTACCTTCAAAGTTTCATAGTTTTAGAGTTATGTCCCAGACAGGATTTTTCTAAAAGGGAAGAATTCAAAATCGGGGCAAAACAGTTTCTTTGTTTCATTTTACGCCTTTTCCCAACAGTATTTCAGTCATATAGGTGGGTAGTTTCCTAACCATCGTTCCTGGAGAGTTACACCAGTACTAGACTACCTTCCTCCTTGATAAACTACCAAAGCATCTTCCGGGGATCGAACCCACGCCAGAGAGGTAACTGGATTAGAAGTCATCGACTCTAACCCCTCGACAATGGAGGCGGTCCAGAGTTATGGTTCTTTAGCACTGCACTCAAATTATGTCCAGGGGTTTTCAAGTAATGATCCGGACAAGCACAACGGATGGACAGACTGACAAGGAGGCCACAATATGTTTTCCTTTTGGAAAGCATAAAAACTAAATGTGGATTGACGACTGATATTCACCAATCCTTAAATCTACTCCGAGCCAGCTCATGATAAATAGTTATTGCACTTTACCTGAAAGTTCCATTTGTAGATGATTCTAGTGATATAAAACAACACAGACATAACTTAAACTTCTTTAATGTATTTAATGATTCTGACAATGTAGAATAATATGATCAGTACATTTTACAACAATATCAAAACTTTCAGTAACAAAATCTGAACATGAAATGGCAATAATGAAAATCAGGGTTTTATTCTTACATGATCATTTCTATGTTAAAATATAAAGAATTCATAATAAACAAACTAACCCCCCCCCCCCCCCCCCCCCAAAAAAAAAAGCTGTCCAAGGAGCAGCTCAATCCTCATTCCTCGGTGCAGGATCGTGAAATGCATATTACTAGACTTAATCAGAATAAAAGGTCATACTGACCCTTAATTTTTGACCTGATAATGGGTGTGACAGGTTGAACATGTCAAAATGCATCCACATTACACATTTGTAAGTATTGATGTTAATGACTTTAAAAAAAACAACACCTTAACCAATAAGATTAACTGACTCCAGCAAGTGGGTCATGTCTTCGAAAAGTGAGATAATCAAGATAATAAAAAGCCTAAAGATTTATTTTCACGTAAACTGAGAGAATTTAATTTTTTTCTTATGATTTATATGTCCCATACCCTGATGTACTTGAGTAATATCTTTATCCCCTTTGGAATTTGAAAGTGTCTGTTAGCAATTTGAGGTATTTAAAATTATTAACCCTGACCTACCTGGACCTAAATGTGATGAGCTTTTGGCCCCAGTATTGAGCCAGGCCAGCTTGCACTTCTTTACAGACTGACCACTAGAGACCATACTTCATGCTCTATACTGTTTGCTGACCAAATACAAACTTGCGTCTTGATATCCCCAAATTGATAATAAACAGTTCTAAATAAGGAAGCTGTACAAGTCTTATGGCAGAATAGAGAAGTCAATAACACTGTGTATATTCAAGCAGTAAATATTCTGACATTATTCATGTGCTAATGTCCAAATAGTGACATAACATTTCCTTAAAATAAACACTGATTTACAACATTTTTTAATTGAAACCCTGATTTATTACTTATCTACAATGGACTAGATGTAGAAAAATAATATAAATGAGCCGCGTCACGACAAAACCAACATAATGGGTTTGCGACCAGCATGAAATCCAGACCACCCTGCGCATCTGTGCAGTCTGATCAGGATCGATGCTATTCGCTATCAGTTTCACTACTTGTTATAGGAATTGTAAGCGAACAGCATGGATCCTGATCAGATTGCGTGGATGCGCAGGCTGGTCTGGATCCTACTGGTCGCAAATGCATTATGTTGGTTTTGTCGTGACGTGGCTCAAATTGTAGATATGGCTTATATCAAGTTTATGATGACTTTCATGGAAAGTAAAAATTCTGAATACAGAAAAAAAATTATGTAACTTTACACATAAGTGTAAATAATATAACTATGTACATGAGCTTAAGGCTAAAAATTCTATATAATATGTCCATAGAGTGTTGTTGAGTGACAATGGTGAATTTAGGAATGTTCTGATAGATGGTTGATTAAATGTACGTTCAGCTTGCCAAAAAAAAATTCACTTCCATACAATTATTAATGGTATACTTTTTTGTGCCATATAAAGGGATAATAATTCTACACTACTCAAACTTGTATATATAAAATTCATTCGCTTTAAACTACACATGACATTTTTTTGTCTGAAAAAAAGAGAAAAAAAAAAATGCAAAAAAAATCACAATATTCCAATGTCTGTTTTTGATGTCCTCTTCATTTAGTATACATACACAATACAGGTATATAAATAAACACAATATAAGTAATGGTAAAATTTCTCAAACAAAATATTGCACAATAACAAATAATGAAATGGAAATTCTAACACATATTCCCCTACTATATACTCCTTCAATATACATAACATTCTTTGTGCGTATAAGCATTGCCATATAAAATTGTCAATTTTATGACATTATCTTTCATGACTTGGTAATAATTACCATTTCCTCTTTTGATTTTTTTTAAAAAAATATTTCAAAGTTTGTTCTTGTTGAACAATATAGGTTCCTAAAAAACAAATTTCCCTTCCCAAATCTGTTTGTATAAATCAAAAGTACGGAATTTTCTGAATTTTGGATATCTGTAATAGTTAATTTTGCAATCAATCTGCAAGTAGTGTTAAAGCATTCTTCTTAGACCTGATATAATGTTTTATAACAATAGTGTAACAATAATTTAAGAACTGATTGAATAATTAATATTTGAACATTCAATCTATCTGAAACTACTAAACTGTAAAAGATTCTCCAGAAATATTTATCAACATTACCTTTTACCATATATAGAGGATATTGAATGAGTGTAAGTTCAATACTGAATTTATTGCACAAGTTGAATAAAATTATATTATGCGAGCCTCTGGCGAGCATAATGTTATTTTATTCAACGAGTGCAATAAATTCAGTAATGAACTTACACGAATTTAATATTCTATCTATCACATACCTAAAATAAAGACCGTTTAAAGTGAAATAAGAGTCATTTTCCAGTGACGCGCCTATAGATTTACGCTAAACATTTAGCGCGTCTTTACACTATGTTGGCATAACGCTAATGACGTTACGTCAAAATATATGCACAGCCGTGCAATACCATATTTACGGAGTCGCAAAATCGGCACGGGTGTGTGATAAAATCATATAATTTTTTACAGAAGTTTAAACTAAATACCTTAAAAACATAATTTTATGGTCAAAGTAGATAGACAAATCAAATAAATCATTTTGTGTAAATTGTTGGATTTTATGCCACACTAACACTGTAATGGTCACTCAATGACTTTCCAGCTTCACTTGTGAGTGCACTCGTTGTTTATTATTTCATGCATGAGCGGGAGAATCCCCAACCTTTCATAAGCTAGCTTGTTCAGGAGTATAAGGGAATATATAACCATATCTATGGCTAAAATACTAAGGAATTATCAACTGTACAATATTAACTTTCTATACAGTAAACCAACTTTACGGTAATAAAGCTAACAAAAATTATGATGTGTATGAATAAAGTCATATTATTAGGGGAAAAAAGGATAACAATAATTTAAACCAGTTGTTTTAATCATAATAAAATTTCTGATTTTCTTTTTAAAAAATATACAGAAACAAATTCTCGTATCAAATTGAATACTCTTAAATTCAACTGACTAACGTCACTTAATACTATAGAAATGAATATATAAACAAGGAAATGTTAACACAGTTTACAACTATGTTAAATAACTTGCACTAACAAAACAAATGCCCTATTGCAGTCATTTTCAGTATATATCTAGTAGATTAACTGTAGAGTGCAAATTGTGACGAATTGTTTAAACTCTAAATTTCTTGTTTTGGTTTTATCATGATGTGCAATAATTATGGAGCACCTTAAATTCTCATAAATAAATAAACGTGTACAGTGAAATGTGTGTTTCAAAAATGGCTGAAAATTGATGGAAGCTTCAGACCATGAAAATCAGAATTTTTTAATAGCATGATGTTCAGTGTTAATATATAATTAGGTGCTACCTATATTACGGAAAGCTCTTGGAGCCTGTGGCCATGCTCGAATTTTCCGCATATAAAAAAGTTTTTTTTGTTTTTTTTTTTCAATTAGGTTATATTGTCAAAAGATACGAAGGCAGTAATTTTTACTTGTACAGTTTAGAGGATTTCTAACTGGAAATAAATCGTCATAATAAACTTCTCTCTGAATAAACATGTATCTTTATGATAAACTATTTAAAAATTTAAATGAAAGATATAAGGATAGTTTCATACATGTTCAAACAAACAAACAGACAGACAAACAATCTTAGAGACAGTTAAGGTGATTGGACAACTTAAACTATTCACAACCTTCTCAATTCACTAAATATATAATTATAACACTAAAAATTCTCAATAATGAAATGAAAAAAAAAACTTAATAATTTCACTAAAAATAATAATATACAGACAATACATAGCTAAACTTTACACAAAACTTCTGGCGTATCATATATGTTAAAAATATGTAACCCTGTAAATTTCACATTGCTTTAAAGAAAACTACCATGTAAACTTTACTTGTATTACATAATATCTAATAATGGATAAAAAAAACCCAGCAACAACAAAATAATATACTATAATCATAGTAAAATTGTTGTATTTATAATGCACAACATATTTCAGTGTGTTTTAACATATGCAAAATGAGGAATAATTATGTAATAAAGGTAAGTTACAAATGGATGTGGATATTTCTAAAAGCCAGGCTGCATCTTATATGAAAATATTTCTAGTCACATATTTAAATAATCAAAGTAACATAAACAATTTTACAATAAACATAACTTCCTAACCAGTTAACGAACAGAACTTAAAAATCAAAAGCTTCAAGTAGAAGAAATCTAAGTTATAAATATTTTATCATATCAGTACAATACCATGCAGAGTAAAACTGTTGCCTCGTCACATTCGAAGGCAACTGATATAAATAAAATACAGGTACACCTCCCCAAAATCATAAGAATCTTGTTCAAATAAAAAATAATCTGATCAGCAGTTTTTTTTATAATACAGCATAAGAGTAGTTCTGTTGAAATTTAAGCTACTTTAATCACAGTTCAATAAATACTGATACTGCAACTATCAACTACTTAATTGAAGGGAGAAACTTCGCAAGTGTCTCTGGTATATTTTCAGGCATCAATGAAAGCCTTTAGATTTTTATCACTGATCTTAAACACTTAACATCAAAGGCTAAGTTACAAACCCCAAGCAGTTACATGGGGCAGGATAGGATTTTAACCTTGGGATATAATCTGTATGGAGAGCAGTTATGACAGAACCATATAATGAAGCATGCATATTGACCATATTAATGTCTAAGTTCACCTGATGCCAGCAGGCAAATTAAACATAACATTCATGCAAATGCAGATATAAAGACTAGTTTAAAAATGATATTGTGAAATCATATGAATTATCACTTTTTTAAAACATGGTCCTTAATATACCTGTAATTCAGTGGGAGCAAATGCAGCATTTTTTTAACAAGGTACTTCAAAATCAACCATTTTCTTCCTCCGAGTGTGAAGAGAACCTTTGTTTTATACCTTCAAATATTGTAATGAGATTCTGCAGCCCAAACAAATAGCCATCGTCAATGCCTTTATGCGGAGCATCATCACTGAATCCACGATGTGTGGAATGGGCAAAATCTATCATACGAACATCCACCAAACAATTATCATCTTGAGCAGGTGTGTTTAATTCATCACTATTTACTTGAGTTTCTGTGTCAACTACTGAATTCACAGTTTCCTTATCGGACGACGTATCATGTTCTAAGTCACTATCCTGTACCATCCCCCTCCCACTGTACATTATCAATAACGAACTTGAATAGAACCTGAAAGAGTCCTGTTTTTTTACAATCTTGTAAAGTTGTTGAAGACGATTTAAAATTGGATCAACAAGTTCCAGCCGCAATTTCTCACCATCATACAAGAAAAGTTCAAGACTTTCTTTAAACTCTGGTACTGTAAGCTTCCGACCAAAGTACTTGTTCTGACAAACAAACTGTCCAGAGGTAGACTGGTAAACCTGAAGTCAAAATAAAACAAACATATGAATAAATCATCTTTATCACTTCACTCCAGTATACAGTTTTACATCATAGCATTACTACAGTGTAAAATTTACTGTAATAATCTATAAATAGGAAGCATTTACAGTAGTCAAACAATTTCCTATTGGTTTTAAAACACAAGCTGTTAAAACTAAAGCATTTTAACAGAAAATTAATATTTTAAAGAATAAATATTCAGATTTTATGTAGCAGCAAATAATAAAAAGTTAGTAGCATACCACTCTAAAATTCCAAGTCAAAAACTTTTCTATAGCAAACATAGTTAACACAATAATTCAATATCTCACACTTTACATTTATGCTTTATTTCAGATAGTGAATTTTTTTAATTACTTTAAAGCTAATCATATAATAACAAACCTTAAACCATACTCATAGCATTAAATTAAAAAGTCATGATTCCTTTAAAATTTTAAATAGTTAAATAAAAGACATTGGTCAAGTTAATAATAGTTTGTGCTCCATCTAGAAACTGACATTTGATTTTTTTTTCAAATCTGCATTCAGTTTTGAATACCTTTAACATATAAAATTTGAATATTCTAGACACACAAAGATTCTATAAAAATTAATGAAATAAATTTAATTTCTTATATTTTCATTCTTTTCCATGTAAAAAAGGTATCAAAATTCTTTGAAAAGTACATTTTTTAAAGCATTTTTAAATTTTTCTGGTATAAAGAATTACCAATCTTGTAAGTTGCCAACATTGAAAAAATCACGGCCAAGGCAGTTGCATCCTTGTTAACATTCTAGGCTGCCCTGAAGCCATACTCAACCCTGCCAAATACAAAGGCATGTTCAAAACTAAACAAGTATAGTCAAACTTGTACTCAAGACCCTCTGTGAACAGAGTCCAGTTCCCTTTAAATATCACAAAATTGTTATCCAATTTAACCCTTCACCTGCTGAATTTGTGAAAAATATTTGCCAGGCTTCAATTTTGTGACAATCCTTTTAAAGTTTTAGGGATTTCAATATAAAAATACAAAATTGAGCTACCAAGAGTATAGAGCCTGGACAGATGTGCACACCAATCTAGCTCTAAACTGATGGTTACCAATCACTTTCCGTTCTAACAAGGTAAGGGTTAAGCAATCAAACAATATTTTAACATGTGAATAAATGTCACCTACATGCAATAGGTGGTCCTAATACATTTGACTATACTTGTAATGAGTCATGGTTTAATTCCACTATTTTTATATCTGATAAGATAAGAGAGATCACTTACCAGAATCAAAGACTCTTTTGTCCTGGAAAGAGGTTGTCTGCCCCTTACAGATGATTTTTTTCATAGATGGAAAAAGAATGAGAGGGAACTGATGACAGAAAACAATGACAAAATCATAAAGAAGACAAGTGTGTACAACTTCTGAAAATTACAGTAGAACACTGGAAGGAAACATTATGCCAGGATAAATACAATAAAGACTACCTGCATGCCAATAAGTCTCAAACCAACAGCACTGGATGTGGTCGATGCACATTTTCTCATCTGACTATTTTTCTTGGATTCTGGAGCATCATCGCCATGTTGTCTGGTCCCCATCTTTAAGTCTAGTATACATGGATACTTAAACTTTGCTGCTACATTTTCCAGCAATATAAACTCTGAACAAAAACAGGAAAACATCTTAGTAAGTATTATTTATTTTGTTTTGTTTCACACCTATACAGTAATTTTTCAGCTTTACTGGTTCAGGAAGGCCTCAGGTGTCCCTTGGGCATTATTTCAGTAACAAGCTGGCACCAGAGTATTCTGTTAACCAGCTGGATAGTTTGCCATCCTATCAAAGAATTCATTTTTCATTTTGAGAATTAAACTTACAGCAGTGACATGTGTGTGACTCTTAAGACATTGACCTTAACCACTTGGCCACTGAGGCACCACCTTGGTATGTATGAACCTGAATGCAACTAAAGAGTGTATTTAGCAAATTGAAATTTGACGTTATTATAGCTGACACTAGTTTTTGAGTGCAATATCAAATAGACCTTGTTTTAATAAAGACCTAGAGTGAAGATCCAATTGGTTTCTGAATTTCAGCATAATGAAAGAGGCAATAGTTTAAAAGTCCTAGTTCAAATAGGAATTCCATCATGGCCAGTTCAGTATTATTAACAGAGATAAATGTAGTTTATTTTTCAACAATGATCTAAATGGGGAAATAGAATATGTCCTTTACTTCAAATCATTTTACCCACTTAAATGTTGTATCAAAGTTGAAGTACATACATACTCTGTCTTTTCTTTAAATATAATTATAAGAAAAAGCAAATTTCATTTCTCACTTTTAAAATTAGAGTCTTGATTGTCCATCCTCATTTTTGCTAGTGATCGTTTATGACATTTCAAGCTCCAGGGATTGAGGTTAGCTGATTTTGGTCCAGATTTGGGATCAGGAGAGTGGAAAACTGTATCTGTCTGTGTACTAACTTCAATACTTCCACTTCTTAATAGCCGGACACTGTAAATAAATTAACAACATAACTAACTTTTTAAGCACATCAGAATTTTTTATTCTGAAAAAAGTGTGTGGAGAAACAACAATGACCCTGAAAATTTTAATACACATTTTAATAAAATGCGAAAATGCTTGTCAGAAATGAAGGAATTAGATATGATAAAGGGCATATAGCTATATATTGGCAGCTAAATCATCTGAGGTCCAAAGGCCTTATAACTTAAAATTTGAATTTCTTACATAGATCAACTGGGTCACTTTAACCATGAAGATATGCAAATGATAATTAAGAAATATAATTAGAAATAAATTGAAAATCCAATTATTGTGCTATTCTGTGCCCGATTGGAGTGAAGAGTTTTTTTGTTTTTTTCAAAATTAGAACATTTATTCTGGAAAAAGGACTGAGCAAATGATCTTCAATTTTTCAAACAAGTTATTGGTCCAGCCCTACATCAAATGGACCATTTATCTTAAAAATAATTATTTCCATTCCCATCATGTCAAAATACCTCAGTAGAGTCCATTTAACCCTTTCATACAATCATTAACTATATCATTTGTTTAAACCAATGCTTAAAGGGGAGTGGTGGCCTAGTGGTAAAGGTGTCTGCCTTTCAACCCAGGGATCATGGGTTCGAGCCCTAATCAGGTCACGACCATGTTTCTTCCTGGAAGCGGACTTAAAAGTGATAAATATAAGTTGCAAGAACTTGTTTCACTATCGAGCTTTAATAAATATGTTTTAAACTAAATCATCAAATGTGTTATACCTTGACAAATGTTAGAAAATCACTTATATTGAGACAACCTTGTAATTTTGTAATGTCACATCAAAATGTCTCCAAGGAAACTCATTATTTTCTCTCGAAATTCGATCAGCAAAACCAGTCAAGTTAATTACTGTCATCTGAACGGATTTCATCTTGTATGACAGTAACAAATACTAAGAAAATCTGACACCATTCCAACAACCTCGTTAGAGAATTCAATCTGTACCAGCAGGTAGTCATATAACATAAACTATAATTATAGTCTGGATGTTTCACAGATTTGTTTACAGTTTGGTTTTATTCATCAATTATTAACTATGAAAAGTCATTCCAAACCAACTAAAAGTCTACCTGTTGTACTCATACATGAGAACATGAAATCTGTGAATCTTGGCTCTATTAATCAATCATTGGCTTACCTAACAATAACATTATAGTTTTTTCAAATATTTTAAAAAATCATTTTGAACAACAAAATAATCTATATGCCATATGTTTACTACATACAGGTGACACTATTGTTTTCTCCTGTATCTTGACATTTTCCCTTTATTCTATGTTTTTCCATTATTATTCCTGACATTTGGCTTACCAATAGGAGAAAATTGTGTTAAACTAGAGATAAAACAGCATTATACAATATGAATTATTCATTACTTAGCAAATGACATACATGTATACCATGGTTTGTATGAAGACCATGAATATGTTAAAATATAGGGTTACAGTCACTCCATTGGATTATATAACATTTTTTGCTCAAACAGTCACAGTCTTAAAGGTGGTAAAGGATTTTGTCCTTCTTTGCATGTTTGTTAAGATGATGATTTGCCTTTACAACAAAAACCAGTATAATGTCAGGGTAACATGCACATTCTGTGCAGTATAACTGGATTCTATACAATTTGCTGGTAAATTTGAGCTTTTTTACATTAAAACCCCTAAATAACATGAACTGCCTATAGAACAGCTTGCTTATTACTTTCTAGAGGGAAAAGGGTACGATTTAAAAAAAAACTTTAAGGTCAACAAGAGGGCCATGATGGCACTAACTGGTTTTCTTACAATTACTAATAATTAATGAATAAAGAATTGTGAGAGCTAAAGTGTTAACAAGGTTATTTTTTCAAATTTTTCTGGTGACCTAGTCTTTGATCCAAGATGACCTACAACATGTATACTCAAACATGATCTGTATATCATTGAAATAAACATTCTGACGAAGATTTGACCTGCTGAAATTCTTTTTAATCAGAGATGACCACCTGTACATTGTTAATTGTCATTCTTGTTCTAAAATTTTCAAGTTAAGACAATGGTCATATATGAGAATTTCAAAGAAAGGAGCTTATTGAAAACAAGACATATCACTGCAGGTGATAGATGCTCTCCATACTAGCATGGTTGTCAATGTATTTCAATGCCAAATATAGCAAAATAATTTCTATCTTAAGCATCATTAACCTTGACCCTCCACCAAAAGTAAGAGAATTACAAAAGCTATGTTCCTAAATGTTACAGTTGGAATACACACCTACCTTCATAACAATCAGTACAACCTCTGACAACTGCATCAGGGAATCAGTTCTTTGGCTAAGTAGTCTAGAGCATTGTCACTCTCTTGTAAGCAGGAGGTTGCAAGTTCGAATCCCAGTCAAGGCAGGATCTTTTCTGATGCATTTGCATCTTTCTGTTACAAACTAAATATTTTCGTAAGACTAACAAATATGAAAGATAATTTAAGAAATCAGTCAATAAATAAGTTGCTAAGAGAAACAGAAGGAAAGCGAGGCAGTATTACAGAAACTATGGAAGGACCAAGCTGCAACTATATGCTCCCTGAAATTTTTTCCTGAAGCACAAAAGAGGGCACAATGTTGTGTTGTTTTTTTTTAATCTGTGGCAGAGATATGCTTACAACAGGACTAAAAATTTAAATGATGGCATAAAAAAGTATAGCATTGTCAAGGAACATTACCTATAAGAATTGCCAGCAACTCTTGAATGTTTCTTCCTGGAGGGTATAACTGGACTGTTGGGGTGTTCATTTTCACTTCCACTTGACAGTGGTGAATTTGCCCTCTCAAACTGTTTTGGAGACACCCTCGGTGATGACCTCTGAGATGTTGATCCCTGACCTTCACTGCTGTCTGATGGCATAGGATGCCCAATCAGAGTTATCTCCCCATCATTATCTTCCTGAAGTTCCACTTCAATGATTCCTGCAACCAGTAGCTTAGAATTAAATCAGTTTAAAATCATTCATGTATATTACATTGTAAAGAAATGATAGGTTAATGGTTATATAATAAGAAGGTTGCATATGATTCCCTAGTTACCATAGGTTATAAACTTACAATCTCTCTGAGGTTAAAACAAGAGGTAGTCACATGATTGTCACAGTAATATTGATACATGTCAGTCAGAAACCATAGATGAAAATGATTTAAACATACCTTCATGACTGTAGTGCTTGAAAAATGGAAGTTTTAAACCAAATTGTGCTGTTACATACAAATAATATGACAGGTTTTCAATTTAGTATGTTTATGTTTTCTCTAGTCAGAATACATGTATTTGTTTCCCATTTTGCTTTTCATGAATATGTCAAGTGCATTTATTTTTTTGCTGTTGTTAACTTAAAAGAACAAAATTCTTTACATCTCACATTCTATTCAGTACATAATTTCACAGTCTGTCCCGGGAGATCTTGAACAAACTAGTATTTTATAGCTTAAAACTAATTAATTGATATTCAGGAACATCAATAAAATGACAATAAATGTGAAACATTGTCGCTGTTAAGTTTCTAATCAGGAGAGAGGGCAATGATTAAAAGGTTCACACACTTGAGAAATGTGTTTTTCTTGTTCTTAAATTCTTTATTACGCAAAATTTTCAAACAGCGATGTAAAAGCCAAGCAAAGCAAAGCAAAAAATTCAAACCTTTTAGCAAATCTTTATTGCTGAATGCAAAGAGGCCAGAAAATATCCCAATAGTTCATAGCATTATCAGGACCGTAAAGATCAAATTTTGATCATTTCTATACAAAGGAAAAACTTATTCTGTAATTGTAAATCGCTTAAATGGGAACCTTAAAACGTTGTCTTACAAGATAAATGAAAATGTTGCATGCTCAAGTAGAGCAACAGTAAATTATGCATGCTATGACAGTACCTCGTAGCACTGACATTAACAGAATATCTGACAACAACAAATGATGATTTTCTTGTGACCAGTCACAGACTCGGATCTGTCAGTCCTTTTTGGTCTCCCCGAAAGCTATTTGATGAAAATTGGAGAAAAAAATTGAAACATATTATGTTCAGTTAGATTTATAACAGATCATAATTCAATGAAAATTTGATTTACTATAGACTACACTATTAACAGGACATACAGGATCTACTTTAAACCAAGAAATAGTCTAAGTAATAGTTATTACAGAGTGTACAGACAGTTTCACTGGTCAGTTATCTAAGATGCAGTTCTGAAAAAAAGTATGTAATGTATTATAATAAAGAACCTATTTTTTCAAATCCATTTTAGAAGTTGGCCAAGACAATTTTTGTGATATTCTTAGATTATTATGACATAGACAGTAAAAGCCAGTCAGATTAATTAAGGAGTGAACCAGGTCTAGCTTTGTCATGTGAACAAGACCTAGATTTTACTATTTTCCCCAGCTGTTACAGGTGTTAATTCAACAATAGTAAAGTTATATCAACATTTGATTCAAAATTCTGTTCTAACTGTATATAGGAAATATTTCATAAAAATTATGCCAAAAAACTTGTGTTTTTGTTTTGTTTTTTCATATACATAATGTTTTTTTTTTTATTTTTAACCCAACAGATAAAATTTAATAGTTCATGTGCATGTATAAATTTATTCTATAGATTAGCCTTGAATACAATAAAATTAGACATTCATCTTTTTATTACAAAAGAGTTTACAAAGAGTGTCCTATGTGTGACCTTAAATTATGAATCAATTATCTACTCGACCAATACAGCAGTTCAATGACATTTCAAAATGATGATTGAAAGTTCATGTCTAAGATAAAGCCTGATGCTTGAAAACAAAAATGTCTTATAATATAAACACCATAAATTATTTTAGCTTTAAATATGTACAAATCTTATCAAAGTTTGATATACATGTATACACATTTATTTACCAAAGTAATGTACTTTCTCTCTCACCACTTAACTGGTAACTATAACTGAAGTCTTGTTTCCCTAATAACAACCTGGCAAAGCTCCATTCAGCCACTAAGGGGTTAATTAAGGTCAAGTAGTTAAGGTCAGTGACTTGTTAGGACTGATCCTTCCAGCTGTAGATTCAAATTAGCATAGGGTGTATACTAAGTTTGCCTCTCAAACAACATTCCTGTCTGTGGCTTACTTCATTGACATGACCAAGAGGCATCTAATGTTTTCAACAGGCATTGGTAAAATGTATGAACATGTGAAGTGATTATATCAAAAACATAACCTTGTCTTCAATTTGTGACAGTAGCCATATACAAAATCAATGTGTAATTGAAGATATCGGTGACATTAGAACAGTTGGTAAGTTTCCTGTTAGAGGGACAGTATGATTACACCCTGTAGTTATATTACCTATATGTACAGACATATGACTGGCACAATCTGATTTGTAACATGTCATTTAAGACAAGTGTTACATGATTGAAATTGTGGTAACCATCTTTGCTTCTTACTTTGTTACTTTAAACAATTAAATACTTGAGACAGTCATACTCAGAATATTTGCTGAGGCTTTCAAGTAGTTCTGATAAAAAAAGTAGGCCTAGAAATGTTAAGAGTATAAACCTGCCCTATTCCAGTAAATCATTTCAAGTGTAAGCACATAAAATGTTTGTTGTACTCTTTTTTCCTGTTCAAGTGGGCATTTTGAGGAGAAGTTGATAAAAGTTCAATTCAAAATAATAAAATTGATAGACATTTTACTTGATGTCATTAAAATTATTCTTTCGTACAAACTTGAAATCTCAGCAAAGTTTCCACTTAAGACCAGAGTGTTTAATAATAGGCTCAGAGTATATGTTTCCTTAAAACTTTTAAAACGTGAAAAACTGCACTTTTTTCTATTCTATGCACTCACATTAAAATATTTGTAAAATTTCTGAATTAAGACTAGAAATGTGTCATCATGCCACGGATGCCCCCGCATGCAGCCAAAATTTCAGATGTTATAATATTTAGTTCCAAATTTGTTTGCACAAATAATTTTTTTCATTTTAAGTTCAAAGCCCTTAAAACTTTTCAATGTTAACACAAACCATTTTCATACAATGTTCAAGGCACTGAAATTATTCAGTCTAAACCTTTTGAAAATAGCATATTTCATATTTGTAGCCAATATAATGGCTACATACATTTCAGTGCTGAAACTGAAAGTTCAAAATTTTTACAACATTCAAGAAAGATAAGTTTGTCCAAAATCATTGAACCACGACCAAATTCAAACTTAAACTGCTTATTCCTAAGATGTATCTATATTATTTTCAAAGTGAAAGGGACATAACTCTGCCAAAAAGTCATCGAACCATGACCAAATTCCAACTTGACCTGCCCATTCCTTTGACATATCCATATGTCAAATTTGAGTAGTTGGGTAGATAATGAACAGAAACTGTAAATTTCATATTATTTTCAAAGTGAAAGGGGCATTACTCTGACAAAAATCATTGAACCATGACCAAATTCCAACTTGGCCTGGGCATTCCAAAAATATATCCATATGTCAAATTTGAGTTGAATGTGTTGTACCATTGGGGAGATAATAAACAGAAAGTGAAAGGGGCATCACTCTGCCAAAAATCATTGAACCATGACCAAATTCGAACTTGACCTGTATTTTCTCACGACATATCCATATGACATATTTGAGTTGAATGTGTTGTACTGTTGGGGAGATAATGAACGGAAACTGAAAATTTCATATCATTTTCAAAGTAAAAGGGGCATAACTCTGCCAAAAATCATCGAACCATGACCAAATTCGAACTTGACCTGTATTTTCTCATGACATATCCATATGTCAAGTGGATATGTCAAGTTTGAGTTGAATGTGTTGTACCATTGGGGAGATAATGAACGGAAACTGAAAATTTCATATTATTTTAAAGTAAAAGGGGCATAACTCTGCCAAAAATCATCAAACCATGACCAAATTCGAACTTGACCTGTATTTTCTCACGACATATCCATTTGTCAAATTTGAGTTGAATGTGTGCAACCGTTACTAAGATAATGAACGGAAACTGATGATGACGGAATGACAGAATGACGGAATGACGGAAGGACAGAATGACGGAAGGACGGAATGACGGAAGGACGGAAGGACGGAAGGACGGAACAGGGTAACACTATATGCCCCGGCCATTACATGGCGGGGGCATAAAAACATTGCCAAAACATCTTGATATATCACAGTACATTCTAACAAAATGTTTTAATATTTATTTCCTATATGATCATATAAGATGAAACTTTATGTAACTGGCAATGAAAGAAGATGTGCCTACAAATTTATCTACCAGTGTATTTAAATACAAGGACAATCCTTAAATCATTACCTCCACTAAGAAACGAAATAATTTCAAGTTCAATTTCTGTTCAAATGATTACCATACATGTCTATATAATTATTACTTTTAGTCATTTCATGTCCTGCTCATAAACATTGAAGGACAGGTTAATGAGGACATAAACTTGGACTTGGACTGGAAAATTAACCATAAAAAAATTCACTGATTTATATTCAAATTTATTACTAATCATATAAATTTTGTTGATACATGTATGTTACTTTGGCTGAATTTTATAATAAAAATTTGTGATAATATCTTAGCTTTTATTGAGTTTATCTTTTATTCTTTGAAAATATTCTGGTAACTTTTGAGTTTGGGTGTTGATGACAATGTGGCATACCACCAACAGTGGCATACCACCAATACTAAATTAAACCAGACCATATATACCATGCAATCTGATGTCAAGAAATTGACATTGTGTCACAGTTCAAAAAGAATCAGTGGAGGAAGGGTAAAAAAGCTTGTTCCCTGAGTGTTTTGTTTACCTCTGTATGCTGGTATAAAAGTCTTCAGCTCTGATGGCAGTGATTCATAGAAAAGGTGCTCCCTGGTGATCAATGGTTTACATAATGTCGTCTCGTTAAATCTCAATACACAACTGTGCCCTCCTACCTGAAATCATAAATATATATTCAGTTTAATTACTAGCAATATTAAGGTTAATTGATGATTTTTCAAGATCTACCATAGGAGTTAGGAAAGTAAAATCCACTTCTTCAGGCATAAGCAGGCATCACTTTGGAAGAAACCACAACCTTCTATAAAAATCTTGATAGATTTTGGCCACAAAACAATTTGCATTTCTACAAATATGATTTTTCAGACAAGTGATTCAAAAGTCAGAAACTTTCACCACATGACTATGGTAATCCTAATAAAACAAATCACTTCTATGCATGAAATATCAGTTTTTTATCAGCATTTATTAATGGACAAGATAACATATGTTATTTACAGATTCAAAAGAATATAATTATTTACCTGTATCAACCTGGCTTTGTTTACAGGTAATCTTTCATTCCTGGCTAGTTTAGAATCTATTGCACTATTTTTTACAAGGATGCAAATGTAAACAGATTATATATGAGTCTTTGTCAGAAATGAAAACTTCTAACACCATTCATTAATAATTTCCTTTTTTATAAGCATTAAAGGTTATATAAAAGTGTGTGTGTCTTTGTAAGGATTATTTAATGAAACATCTTTATTTTTGTAAGCATTATGTTATGCTATTAAGAGTGTCTTTCTTTCAAGATTAGGTTATGGAAACTGTGAGTGCTATGTTGTTCACCAAGCTGGAACAAGTTTAACTACTTTTGTACAGGATCACCTATCGCCATTCCCATTTGTTTCAACAAAACCTGCCCACAACTTAACAAAATATTATTACTTTTTTTCAATTTTCAAATAAGGAAGCCGTTCGATTCGATAGACTTGAATAATTTTAGCTAAATTTGTAGAAAGTCAAACTTGCTTCAGTCCTCCGTCAAAATCTTCTCCGCAGCTAAGGAGATGTAGTTTCAAACTCAAACATTAATTCTATAAAGGATATTGAATGAGTGTAGGTTCAATACTGAACTTATTGAATGAGTTGAATAAAATTATATTATGTGACCCTCTGGCAAACGAGTTTAATAAATTTGGTAATGAACCTAGGTACACAAATATAATATTTTTTTGTCACATACCCAAAAGAAAGACTGTTTAAAGTACAAAAGAATTTTTTTTCCATGACGTGCCTAAAGTGAAATGCTAACATATAGCGCATCTTTACACTACGTTTGTATGTCAAGTCAAAATATATGCACGGCCGTGCAATCCCATTTTACAGGGTCACAAAATCAGCATGGGTATGTGATAAAACGTACATAAGAAAAGACAGTGAATGTTGTATGACAACATACCTGGTGTATAAATGGTTCAAGTTGGACGGGTTCTGTGTCAGTTATATCCTCATCGGTGCTGCTATAGTCTGGCATCTCGGATGATGTCCCAGCCTCTATATACTCATAACTGAAATAGTCATTTATATACATTAACTATATTTTATAATCGTAATATTGAATGAGTGTATATCCTATACTGATTTTATTCAACATGTTGAGCAAAATCAGAAATGAAGTTAAACAAAATTAATTTTCTATTTATCAATTACATGAAATAGGTTTTACAGTAGAAATGAATGATAATCTAGAAGTTTCAAGCAAACCTTTTCAGGGTGTCTTGACATTTTGTTTGTATAATGCAAACGACTTCACATCAAAATATATGTGCAGCCATGCAATACCTTTTTTACACAGGTATTTGATAAATCTATTTATCATATGATGGAATAAATGGAAGGCCAATTCAACAGTTATTAAGCCTGGTCAATAATCTAGTTGATTTCACAATGATAAAATGTTTAGGTGGAATCTCTACAGATATTTAATTCAATGCAGGACATTACATTTACTATAAAGCAAATAATATGTGGAAGAATAAACACTTAACATACATGTATATAAATATTTTAATCAGAATTATACATTAAAATTTTTGAGCTACATGTATTAATTTGCATATTAACACTTTTTTCTTTTTCTATTTTACAATATTTCGTCAAAATATAATTTTCTTAAGTACTTCCCGCTATCTTAGCATTAAAATCATTTAAATTTTCATGCTAATTGGTTGTCTCTTTAACATGAAAGACATGTTTTTCAGTCACTCTTGACATTTTTAAATATTGTAGATCAAAACAATTATTTCAATATTACACACTTACAAAAGAGCAACATATACAATAAGTGCATACATTGTTTGCTTATGTTGTAAATAATGGAAGTGTTCACTATATAGAAGATATATTTGTCAATCTTGACAAATTGTTTATTACTTTACAATCTGTTTTTGGTTACCCTTGGTGTTGTAAACAATATGTTAAACAATGCTGAGGATTTATTTTTATTTATAAATTTATACCTTGAGTTTGAGATCGATTAAATACCCTGTGTGTTGTTATGTTTGTATGTTGATATTCACATTTTAAAAAGACACAAAAAATCATTCTGAAAGTTTACCTAAATCATTTTTGGAAAAACAGTCATGTACACTCACAATTATCATCAGTTTTCGAAAAACAGAGATATAGTTAATGTAAATTCTTTTTTCAAAAGAGTTCACACAGTTACTCCAATTTTTTAGAAGATAATCAACAGAGTAAACATGATTATTATGATTTATACCTAAATGGTTTTGGAAAGCATCCTAACTGGTTTGTGAAGTATTCTGACGGTTTAATACCTCAAGTTATCAATACACTTATCCTAACTTGTATGTGTGTATGTATATGATGTACCATTATTATAATAATGGAAATAAACTCATCCAGGAAATATGAATAGAGTGTATTGACAGATTTCATTTTTTAATATAATTATTGTACAAGAAAACATGACAACAGGATCTCAAAATAATAAATAAAAACTTTAAATAATCCTTCATTCCCCACCTATCTAGATAATTATATTGTGAAATACACTAGCTTCAGCAGACTGACATCTTATTGTTGCCAAATATTTCAATAAGCTATCTTACAAGCATTTATCGGCAGACAAAGATCTCTTCCTGGTATCAAGATGAGAAGTAATAATCCGGTATTAAATCTGGCATATATATCCTCTACTTTTATAGTACAGTATATAAATATATTCTTTTCACATAGTCTTTTATAGAGTATTCAGACACACAAAATGAATGATGTTTCCTTCTGCAGTAAATGTCTAAACCTAAAAGTGATTTTTCCAGTCCACACATTGATTTCCCCCAAGAATCTAGATCACTATTGTGTGTACTATAAACAATTCTCTTGTGTAACTCTTCATTCCTTGATTTTTCTTTTCCAATTTTTTTAATTCAACGAAAAAGCCATCAATATGTTTTTTGCCACCTTTGGTAATGCATGATTCTTGTATACATAAAAAGAGTTTTATCAAATTAGATTGATATAAGATTGCCCACAAGTTTTCATTCACACTCAAATAAACTTTTAGTTACTGAAAATTAACAAAAAATATTTTATCAAAAAAAAAAAAAAAAAAATATTAATGATTTAAACAAAAATAAATTTAATCCTATAAACATAAATAAGAAGTTATTGTTTTTACACATTAGCCTTTTCTTTATTCAAACAACATGAAGACAGTAAAATGTTCAAATATTTACATATCAGGAGTGTGTGCATGATAAATTTATTCAGAACGAAGTTTTCCCTTGAATGTGTGGTGCATGATAAATTTATTCAGTTGAAACCCCCCTTTTTTTGGGCCCATTAATTTGCGTTGGGGGAAAAAGGGGCTCGGGGAAAATACCAATTTTGGGTGCAACCCCTACCCCAAGGGGGCACTCTTTTCCCAGTGGGGGGGAGAGCTCGGGTATTAAAACCAGGGAGATTTTAAAAGGGCTGTTTCCCGTCGGCAATTTCCCCCCTGAATATTGTTTATGATAACTTTAGCCCAAAAATATGGCCCTCTTGCCAGCTGGAATACTAAACAACCCTAGGCCAATTCTAGCTTGGGAGGTAGACAAGACGGGGACGGGGGAGGAAGAAAATTAAAGCCAAGGGGCCACATTTTGGGTTTTGGAAAAATTTGGGGGGTGGTGAAAGGGGGAAACCCAAATTTTCTGGCCGCCACAAGCAGCAACAAGGGGCATTTTGTTTGCCCCCTTAAAACAAAATGCCCAAGGGGTTTTTCCCACTTTAAAAATTTTTGAATTTTGAGGGACTCCTGCCGGTTTTTTATTTCCCAAAAAAAGTAAAAATCCACAAACCCCCCCCCTACCATTTCCCAGAAAACCCCCCCTAAACGTACCATACTTTTTGGGACCGGGTTGGGGGATAGTGTTTTGCATTGAGGGGGACTCTTTTTTGCCGGGCCCCCATCCCCAAAAGGCTTTCTAGGGTTAGAAAACTGGTATTTTCCTTTACCCGAACATTATCTTTATGAGGGTTTAAGAAGTTTTTTTGGGGAAACCGTTCTTTTTAAAGTTCACTCGCTATTTTTAAACAAGGCGAGGGGGAATGATAAGAAAAGTTGTCCCTTTTGTCGTTTGTTTAAAATGGAAACCCGGTCGAAGGTTTTATGGCTTGTTTAAACAAAAAGGGTTTTAAAGCTTAACATACAAGAGGCTGGTTGGGAAATTTTGGCGGGCCCCGTTTGGGGCCCAAAAAATGAGTTGCCAGCTTGCCCACAGGAAAGTTTTTCAGAATTCACCCAAAAAGGGGAAAAACCCGGGGTTCCCTAAAATAGTGGGGGGCCCGAGTGCTAAACTTAGTTTTTTAAAAAGCTTTTTAAAAAAGCTGCCAGAGGGGTTTGTCCATTTTTCCAAACAGTAAACCCAGATTCTTTTCGGGGTAGGGTTTAAAAGACCAAAAAGGCCGGGTTCCACCATGTTTGTTTGGGCCAACAAACCAAAAGGTTTCCTGTCAGGGGCCCATACAAATAAAAACGCCAAAGGGGGGTTTTAAAAGCGGGGTTTTGCAGCCATGTTTTTGGTTTGCCCGGGAAAAAAAAAAACCGGGAAAAAAGGGTTTTTGCTGGTTTGCCTCCCACCATCACGGGAAAGCCCCCAGAAAAAGGCCTATGAAAACCCAATGTTTTAACCCCAAACCCTTTAAAGGGGAACCGGGACCCAAAGGGATGCCCAAAAAACCCTTTTTTTTCAAAAATTGCCCCAACCCCCCGAAAGATAAACCGGTTTCCCTAAAAATTTGTGGCAAAATTTGGGGGCATTTAAAAAAATTAATTGCCCCAAAGTTTAAGGGAACAACCATAAGTCTTTTAAAAACTAAAATTTGGGGAGGGTTTGAAAAAAAGGGGTGGGGTCGTTTCCCGCCCCTGTTTTGCAGCCCAAAACCTCCCAAAATTTTAAAAAACCCCGGTTGGTTTCCCAAATTTTAAAAAAGGCCAAAGAAAAGCCGGGGGGGATCGAACCAGCCCCTATTGTTGTCTTTCAGGTAAATTTTTCCTATTCCCCATTTTTACCAGGGGGGTCCAAGTAGGGGGGGGCCCAAATTTTAAAAAAAGCATTTGGGTAGTTTTATTTGCGGGCCCGGGTTTTGGCCCAAATCATTTCTGATAAGGTCTAAAATTTTCCCTTTAAAAGGCACAACCCCCCCAAAGGGAAAAGGGGAATTTCAAGCTGAAAAAACTTGCTGGCAGGGAATTTTGTCTATGGCGCCTTTTTTACCCGGGTTTTGGGTTTAAAGGGTTTGAAGGTTTGGTCCCAGGGGTTAAAGGGGTTTTAAAAAATTTTTTTTTCCCCCCAATTTTTGGGGAAAAAATTTGGCTTTTTGGGGTTTTTTTTTGCTTCTTTGATCCTGGAAAAAATCTTTTTCTAGTTTATGACCCAAAAGCAAAAGCTTTTCCCTTTGATGGAAATGGGGCACCCTCCCTAGATTTTTCATTCATCCGTTTAGCCCTTTTATACCCAAAGTCAGGGTTTGTCTAAGGGGAAGGTTTTTTTCCCTTTCCACATCTGTGGCGAAGATTTTCCAATGCAGGTTTACACTTTTCCCCTCATACCTATATCGGGGAAACCATTTAAACCCCAGAAAAATTTCGGGCCTCCCCAAAGTGTTTACTTTTAAAGGCACAAAACACCCCTTTTTTTGGGGGTCTTTTTTTAATCCTCAGATAGCAAATCCCCTTTGCAAAGGGGGGAAACCCAGAGATAGGGGGGGCATAGGGCCATCGTTAAAGTTGCCCGGGAATGAGTGTGAGTTGAAACATTTTTTCCCCAAACCCAAAAGTTTTTAAAACCCGGGGTCCCGGTTTGGGCCCCCAATACCACCCCCACCTCCCAGGAGGTCTAATGAACCCCTCTTGTGGAAACCCTTTGTTTAAAAGGGTCAAGGGGATTAAAATTTAGGAAATTTCCCTGATTGATTTTCCAAAGGGAGGGTCTTCTTTAAAGGGGTTTTGAATTTGGGTTTTTGGTAAAACTTCACCGATGGGGGGAATGTGATACGT